CCCAAAAGAGAACGCTGACCCAATTCTTGCGCGAGTGGAGACCTACACCTGGAGGTGACAGGGGTCCAAATCGGGCTCGAGCCGCGACACCTAAAGCCTGAACCCCTAAATCCTCAAGTCTCCAAAACCCTCCCAGTAATTTGTATGTGCGGATCCAGGCAGCCGAGGCCAAAGATTTGAAAGAGAAGACGCGAGAGCGGGCGAATCACCTGGAGTTTTTTTTGCAAGTCCTTCAAGAAGTTTAGTGTGAGTTTGGGGTTTGGGTTTCTTGGGTGGCTTTATAGCTTTCTGGAGTTGAAAACGTCTTTTTCATGGTTTTTGAAAGAGGAGTGTCACGGGTGCTTCAGCGATTCTAAATTTGTTCAGGCTTGTGTGCGTTTCTGACCTGACGGATTATTTTAAGGAGTTGATCCGGTGATTTCAGGTTTTAGGCAGGTACAATTTGGGTTTCAAGAAGGGTTCGGGAGTTGTTTAGGTTCTTTAAATTTGAGGGTTTGTAGAGTTTTCAGAGTGTAGGGTTTAGGATTTCGGTAATGTTTCATGTTCGAGCGGTCGTTTTAAGGTGAGGCCAGTAGGAACGCAACTCCGCACAAGGAGACTCTGACCAAATAACGAATCCATTTTTATGACTTTTTGGGGGGCAGCTTTTAGGCTATTTTGAGCGAAACCCTAAATCCTAAACCCTAAACCAGTGTCCTTCGGTTTTCGGGCTGATGGTGTAGGAATAGTTTGTAATGCTATTCCCGCCTATAGTATTCCCCAGGGTTCCTTGACATAAACATGGATTTCGGGAGCGGCATGGGTTCTGGATCTCGGTACTTTCAATCGGAGAACTCAGCGGCAGTATGGTCTCAGGAATCCCCAAAACCTGATCTACTCACTAAGGACCCTTTAGAAAACAGAGCCCTTCCCGTCAAGCACTTACGGCAACCGTCATAGTGACCCTTATTTAATCCTTATGGTAACCCTTACCGCAACCTTGAAAGTAGCTCTTATATAACTTGATATAAGGTTTTTGTAGCAGGTTTGTAGAAGCAAGCCTCTGCAAGGGGGCACAAGGTTTGCATTGCACGCGTCGTCGCGGGTTTGGCGTGGTGTTAAGGCTTCATGGGTTCGAAGTTCAGGGCTTAGGGTTCAGGGTTTATGGGTTCAAGCTTGTTCAGGTCTATGGGTTCAGGGTTCTGGGTTGGCGGCTTATGGTTGCTGGTTTAGTGGGGTTCAGGGTTCAGGGTTTTCTCATTCTCTTCTCCGAGTCGTACTGAGGACGTTGAAGCAGTCTATCTGCATCACCAAGGTTTAGGGCTTAGGCTTTGAGGCTTATGGCCAATGTAGGGCCGGAAGCCTGCCTTATGCAGCCTCTCTCATGCACCAGGCAGCTTAGTCTCTAGGCTGATCGAATGTGACATGCGACGAGTCCGGGTCCGCTGTTTCTCGAGGAACCCTGAACTGCTGAACCTCAAAGCTTCATCCAACCTTTGTGAATAATTAGTAGTGACTTGGGTTCGGGGTCCATCATAGTATAAAGAATGCATGGGCTATAGGAGGAGACTCTTGCTGATCATTCGACTTCTATATGTCAACCTCTTAAGCTTGAACACACGACCCGAAGCCCTTTGGCCCTGGGAGTTGGGTTGATTGTTAACTGTTACTTAAAGGATCATGGGACTTAGTAACTCGGGTTATAATTAGGGTAACTATACTTATAACTACTTATAAGCCCAATTAAGGTACTTATAACCTTACTTACTAAGTCCCATGATCCTCCAAGTACAGGGCAGCAATAGTGGGGGCGGGGGTGAGGACATGAAAGTCACTGTGCCAAGGTGGCTCATGCGAAGGCAATGCTTGTGAAGAGGCAGCAGGAGGCACGTGGTGGCACTTGCAAGTCCTTGTTTCTCATCTAGCTGTTGCTGCTGACGGCTTTTGTGGTGGTGCTAGTTAAGCTGATGAGTGATGGTCGTCGTGGTTGACGATGATGATGGTGATGGTGATGATGACGGTGATGATGCTGATGTGGGTTATTACTGCTGTCTGTGCTGTTTTTTTTGGTAGTTTGCTAGGTGGTCTTGTTGGAGCTGCTGCTACTCTTGGTGGCGATGGTCCTTGAGGGTGGCGATGGAAGAGTTTTGCTCCTGGCAATGGCACCGATGATGGCTGGTGTCGTTGCGGGTACTTTGCTGACAGGACAAGCTCACGATCGACAGCTGTAAAGAGCTCCTTGAAGTAATATAGGGCCTAACCAATTACCTATACTATTTTGGGGGCTCCTCATTATATTTCTAGCATAATATATACCCCAAAACTCTATTCTGATTATTGAGGCCCCTACATGTTGGGTTTTTCATCGGCATTTGGGGCCCAGGCTCGCTCTTATGGAAAGGAAAGCCCCTTGCTTCGCTCAAGAACAAGCGAAAAGATGCCCTTTAGGGAGATTCGTTGCTGGGTTTAGGGTTTAGGGTCCAGCATCACTGTGTTGGTGGGATGTCTGTTTTCTTCTTTGCTTGGCGCTGCGTTTGGGTGTTTGGCTACACAGCCTGGCGCTGAGCCAATTGACCCTAGGCCCTACACCCTAATACCCATACTAAAGCTCTAAACCCTAAACTTTAAAGCCTAAACGCCAAAACCTATCCAAAGACTCTAGACTCTAAACTTTAAGCCCTACATGCTAAAACCTAAGCCTTAAGATCCAGACCGGAAAGCCCCTTAAAACAACAAAAACAACTTAAAATCCACACCCTGGAAAGCCGACTTGGTCCCAGGTGCAGCACGCGAGGCAAGAGGTAGCAAAAGTGGAGGAGAAGACACAGACCTTGAAGAAGGAGGCTTGGGTTAAGGGGTTGAGGGTGTGGTTTTAGGATTTTAGGGATTTCGGGTTTTTTTGGGTCTTAGGGCTTTAGGGTGCAGGGTTGAGGGCTGTCGGATTTAGGCTCGAGCAGTTTGATGGGTTTGGGGTTATGGGTTCAGGGTGCTTCAGGACTACGGGCCTGGGGGCTTCAGGACAATCATGGGGCCAAGGTCTAAGAGCACTCCACGCCTGAAACGTTGAAGCCTAAACATCTAGGACCTGGAGTAGGCCCTTATTCCCTTTTTAAGGCTTCAGGTTCCCTTATATGCCCCTTTAAACCAAAAAGGGCACCCTTTTTATTCCTAGGTTACTCTTGGGTCTAGACATGCTAAAACCCTAAACCCTGAACCCTGAAGCTGAACCCTAAACCTTAGAAGCTGCCCCCACCCTGTAATAGTGGTATAATAGGAGTATAATAGGGCCCTTTTTTTATCCTATATAATCCTTATGGTCACTATTACAGGGTGGGGGCAGCTTCTAACCCTAAACCCTACACCCCAAACCCTGAACCCTGAAACCTGAACTCTGAACCCTACACCCTACACATTAGGGTTTAGGGTTTAGGGTTTAGGGACCCTACACCCCAAAGCCCTGAACCCTGAAACTTGAACTCTGAACCCTACACCCTACACATTAGGGTTTAGGGTTTAGGGTTTAGGGACCCTACACCCCAAACCCTGAACCCTGAAACCTGAACTCTGAACCCTACACCCTACACATTAGGGTTTAGGGTTTAGGGTTTAGGGACCCTACACCCCAAAGCCCTGAACCCTGAAACCTGAACTCTGAACCCTACACCCTACACATTAGGGTTTAGGGTTTAGGGCTTAGGGTTTAGGGACCCTACACCCCAAAGCCTGAACCCTGAAACCTGAACTCTGAACCCTACACCCTACACTTTAGGGTTTAGGGTTTAGGGTTTAGGGCTTAGGGTTTAGGGACCCTACACCCCAAACCCTGAACCCTGAAACCTGAACTCTGAACCCTACACCCTACACTTTAGGGTTTAGGGTTTAGGGTTTAGGGCTTAGGGTTTAGGGACCCTACACCCCAAACCCTGAACCCTGAAACCTGAACTCTGAACCCTACACCCTACACTTTAGGGTTTAGGGTTTAGGGTTTAGGGCTTAGGGTTTAGGGACCCTACACCCCAAACCCTGAACCCTGAAACCTGAACTCTGAACCCTACACCCTACACTTTAGGGTTTAGGGTTTAGGGTTTAGGGACCCTACACCCCAAGCCCTGAACCCTGAAACCTGAACTCTGAACCTGAACCTGGAACCGGTCGACTCGGAGCCTCATCCCATGGGCTTAAAGCTCTGTGGTTTTGATCGGGTTCTTGTTGTTCAGGATGTTGGGGGTTCAGGGGTTGAAGGTTTGAGGGTTTCGTTTAGGGTTTAGGGTCTAGGGTGTAGGGCCTTACTTGAGCCTTGCTTCAACTCCGCAAGCAGATCTCAGTGTCTGAGCCTTGAAGCCCGGCTCTTGAGCTCTACCGTTGGAACTTACAATGAGTTTCCTGGGTTCTTGTTAAGTAAGTTCATTTTACTTGCCAGAATGGGGATCTTTCGTGAAAAATGTGGTTGCTTTGTTATGGTAACCCAGAATATGATCCTTAACGAGAACCCAGTTTCTCATAGTTTCTCAACAGGTCAAGAGCCCGCTTCCCGGAGAGCGTCCCGCATGAAGGAACTAAAACTTAGACCTTCGGACCCTAAAGTCTAGACCTCAATTCTTAAACCTTAAAAGCCTTGGGGTCTCCTTATAGCATTGCTCCGGGAGGTCGCCGAGATCTCAGAGAAGAAGGCCAAGGTGAACAATGAGGCGCTCGGACTTTTTTGTGGTTGTTTTTTTTTGTATTGCTTTGCCGGGTTTTTCTTGGTTTCTTTAATACTTTGAAGGTTTTTTCTAGTTTTGTTTTGTTACCTTGCAGGGTTTGTTGGGATTTAGGGTTTAGAGTTTGTTATTTTTGTGTTTTTTGTTATTGCAGGGTTTGTGGGGATTTAGGGTTTAGGATTGAGCCGCCCCACCGAGCGCTACCACGCACTTTGACAGGTTCTTCCCGTACTCCTGCAGTCTCGAAAGCGTACGCGCCCTTGTCATCTGGCCAACCGTGATAACGCTCACGCAAACTCCATCCGTTCTCGCAGAGCATCCATGGGCCAACCATGATAACGCGCCCGCTCAGGTCTGTTCAGAAGTCTTCTTCCTGGGGCTTTCGTCTTGCTTTTCATGGGTTTATGTTGGGATGGATATTACAAAAGGCCTCCTAACAGAAAAGGGGTTTTCACTCTGGACCAACATTGTTTCAGATTACATATCGGTCTCATAATGTGCGGATACATTTAGGGTTTACGGTTCAGGGTCTACAGAAATCGTACAAGGGTCGGGCGTGTTGACCGGCATGTCTTGACCTCAAATTTCGACTGGAATCCTTCACCCTACACCCTAGAAGGGGCCCCTACCCTGTAATAGTGACTATAAGGATTATATTAGGGCCCAATTATATTCCTATTGTTATACGACTATTACAGGGTGGGGGCCCCTTCAACCTACACCCACTTTTTTTTGGGGGGGTTTTGAAGCCATGGACACAAGGAGCAAGGCAGGGCTGGGTGGGCGGGCGCATTGACTTTGAGACCCCATAGTAGTTCCTTGTTGGGATTACGTTATAGGAGTCTTTATATGAGCCCCAAAAAGGAACTACTATGGGGCCTCTGGAGAGAACTCCGAAGAATTACATGGTTCGATGCTTACATTCATCAGTCGCACGTCGACACCGCCGAACTAAGACCAAGACTGAATCTCAATGCACGGAACTCCAAAACACAGAGCCCTCAACCCCTCCTTTGCGAATCTTAAATCTCCTGGCCAAGGTGCGAGAGATCAAAGCCCCGGTCCCGCCGGACCTGCCTGGGAGCATGGGGGTTTGAGGTCAGTCTTCCGGTTGATGATATAAATCCTGCATGAACCATAATAAGGAATATACCATAGTTTCCATAGTTTAGGGTGCTTAAGGTCATGCAAGATTTATATCATCAACAGTACCAAAGGAACCGCACATTTGTCTTTCCGTAGGGGATTTAGGGCTTAGGGTTCAGAGTTTAGGGTGGGTGGGGTTCCTTACTGGGGGCCTGAGAAAGCGAGGATGTGGGATCCCTGAGCACGGGGGAAGCACCCAGAGACTCCAATATCCCTTGATTAAGGTATATTTCTTAAATCATAGTAGGGATCCTATGATAATTTAAGGTATCTTCCTGTATAATCAAGGGATATTGGAGTCTGTGGGCATCAAGTTGTCCGCGACTAGACCCTGAAGCCTCACCTGCACCCTACTTAAAGGATCATGGGACGTAGTAAGTAGGTCATTGTTGGGGTGACTATACTTAGAACTACTTGTAGCTCCATTTGGGGTACTTCCGACCTTACTTTCTAGGGCGTCGAGTTGAGGCCAGTCATTCGGATCGCCCGGAGTGTGAGGCATTGTTCTATCTGCTTCTCTCTCCATCTGTCTCTCTGCCTCTCTCGCTCGGTGAAGGGTTTAGGGTTTACGGTTTCGCGTGGAATTCGGGAACTCATCTGTCGTCTTTTCACTGACTCACGTTTTGTTCCTTCTTATCTCAGTTGCCTCGGCACCTGGAACCTTGGTTAGTAGATCCTACATGCGCTTCAAGCAGTCCTGACTTCGGATTTGGGTTTAGGGTTTAGGGTTTAGGGGTTTAGGGTTTAGGGTTTAGGGTTTAGGGGTTTAGGGGTTTAGGGGTTTAGGGTTTAGGGCTTAGGAGTTTAGGGTTTAGGGTTTAGGATTTAGGTGTCACGGTTCGGGGCAGTGTCCTGAAATGAAAAGTACTTGGGACCTTTGGGAAAAGGATGTTTCTAAGTACTATCAGCTGCTCAGCACAAGCCCTGTCGCGCAAGGACATCGCCAGGTGCCAAGATCCATCGAAGTTTTCTTGGTCGGGTTTAGGGTTTAGGGTTTAGCTTAATCGACACCTTTCAGAAGCCCTTGTATAGATCTTCTGAGGGGCACTAATGCGGTTTCCTGTGTTGAGGATTTGAGCCCCAACCCTAAACCTTTAAACCCTAAGCCCGAAATCCTAAGCCCACCCCACCGGGAAGAAATTCAAGTTAGATGCGAGAGCACCCCTTAGCGGAGCCATTAGCAGAGTCCTGGTCCGAATTTCAAGGGTTGGGTTTCGGCTGAGGTTTAGGGCTCCAAGTTTTTGGGGGTGTGGGCTCCTTGGTTGGAGGGTTTACTCCCTGGTGCTTAGTAGGGATCGGAATGGGGGAATGGATCCCTATAGTAGTCCTTATATAATCCCCAACCATAGTCCCAATAACTCATTCCCCTATTCCCTACTAAGAACCAAAACCCTAAACCCTAAACCCTGAGCCCTAAACCCTAAACCCTAACCCTGCTATAAACCCCAATCCGTGGTTTGGGCTTTCCAGGAGTCGAATGGTAAAGGGAGGAACCCTTAATCAGGACCCCTAGGTATAGAACCTTAATGTAGCTGTTCTATACCCATCATATGGTCCATTATACCCTAAACCCTAAACCCCTAAACCCTAAACCCTAAACCCCTAAACCCTAAACCCTAAATATAGGGTAGGGGTCCCCATTAAGGGTCCCTCCTTTTGCCCTTGGAAGGAGGGCTCCTGGATGCTCCTCACATAGGGGCCTTTGGTGTTACCAAGAATGAGAATTGGGTTCCTTTAAAGGAGTTTATAAGGGCGACTATAAAGTTTCCATAAGGGTACCATAACAGAGGGGCCTGAATGATTACGCATACTATTTTGGGGGGTTCCTTATTGTAATTATGGCTGGCGGGCGGAAGTCCACCCAACTCAAAATGCAAACCCGACACACCCCGAACCCTAAACCCTAAACCCTAAACCCTAAACCCTACACACCCCGAACCCTAAACCTCAGCACGACGCCAAGGATGGCATGCTGGCACGGCTGGAGGCAGATGTCGAAGGTGCACTGGGGTTGCCTGAAACAGGGTTTTTTGGGTTCAGGGTTGGGGTTTGGGGGTTCTTGTCTAGGGTGCAGGGCTAAGGAGTTCTGGGGTTTCTGGTCAAAGGGCGGCCTTCAATCCGGGGTCCTTACTACAGCCCTTACCAGAGGGCCTCCCTACTTTTTCTATCAGGGTTTTTGTGATTGAGTCTACATGCTTGAAAGTTCGTTGTAACAGCCATGAAGCCAACCGGTAGGTCCAACAACCACACGGCCGGCGCAGAACTTTGAATCACCGATCGTATGAAAAAGTGCTGAAGACAAAATCGAAAGCCAACCCCAACCCCCAAACAGCCTGAAACCCCGAGCCTTAAACCCTAAAGCCCTAAAAGTCTTAAACGCTCAGAGGTATTTGCCTTAAAGCAGTGCTCTCTTTCACATTTGTGGAACCTGTACCTATCAGACGCTCAGGTTTCGGGAAATACGTCTGGGCCCAAGTCTCCCCGTAGCCTTGCAAAGATAAACAGCCACAAGAACCGAATGAACCCTATACCTTAGAAGCTGCCCCCACCCTGTAATAGTGGTATAATAGGAATATAATAGGGCCCTAATATAATATTAATATAATCCTTATGGTCACTATTACAGGGTGGGGGCAGCTTCTAACCTATACCCTAAAGCCGAAACCCTGTACCTAAAACTCTAGACCCTGTACCCTTAACCCTGAACCTTGTTTAAGAACCTCGCGTCCCTCGTCCGGAGGTATCCGAGCGCCGTACCAGGACTGCACTTGACAGTGCTGCTGGCTTTGCCAAAGGGGGTTGGGTTTACGGTTTCGGGTTTAGGGTGTAGGGTATCACGTATCAATCTCGGTTCGAAACCCAAACAGTCCATATCTTCCGTTGTTGCGGTTTCCTGGTTTTCATGCTTCAGGTGTCATCAAGGATTGAAAACTCCTCCTTCAGGAATTCATGGTCCTTCTAATTTCCTTGTTGCTACATGGGTCGTTGTCAAAATCAGGGTCCCTTTTTGGGCACCCTAAAATATTAGGTGCCGTACTCTATTAAGGATCCAAAAAGGGACCATAGTTTGGACAACCACCCACATGCTACTGCAAGTAATCATGTCCGATGGACACGAAAGTCGAACCAGCTGGAAACGTCAAGGAAGCCCAAACCCTAAGTGGCCCTACGCCCTGCACCCTAAACTAACCCTTAGACACGTCCGTCAACACAGGTAAACAAGCAAACCCTTAAAGGAGGAACCCCAAACCCTAAACGGCCCAAAGCCCTGATGCCTAAACAAACCCTTAAAGGAGGAACCCTCAAGCTCGAACCAGGGAGGTTTTTATTGGAGGAGAACGGGCTCTTAGGTGTAGTGCTCGGCGGTGAAGTCATGGGTGAGAAAACGTCGAGGCAGCGTTGCTCTTCCTTTGATTGAAGATTTCAAATTTTTGCGTTTGGTGTACGGTCTAGGTTCGGCAGCTACTTGTCGTGCTTACGAGAACTCCGATCACGACTCGTACTAATCGTGCTGCAAGTCCGGCCATACCTACTGATCGTTGTGATTGCTCTCGGTCTAGCCCTCAAGGCTAGATCAGGATAGTTGAACAGACTTCCAATGCACCTTAAACGACCTGGAACGATAAGCCGGTGCAGATCCTTCGTATGCAGACCTAGCGGTTGATGGTAAAATCCTGCGTTACCCATAATGAGGAATATACCATAAATCCCACAGGCTAGGGTCCTTAAGGTAATGCAGGATTTATATCATCAACCGTACCCTTACACTCCGGAGTCGACAGTGCTCTTTGCAGGCATATCATGCTCGGAGGCCGCACCACTGCAGACTATGCGTGAGAAAAGCTGCTAAGGCCACACACACAGCGAAGAGAAAGGCCAGGAGCTTAAGACCCTAAACCCTAAACCCTAAACCCTAAACCTTAAACCCCTAAACCCTAAACCCCTAAACCCCTAAACCCTAAATCCTGGATCCGGGTCGACACTGGGAGCCTAGTCAGGGTCAGCTGTCGATGACTAGTGACTAGTGTTTAGGGTTTAGGGTTTAGGGTTTAGGGTTTAGGGTACAGCACAACGACAGTAATTCAGACAATGGCAGCAGCAGATGCAACAACAGCAGCAACAGCCACGACGACTACGACGCCGGCGGCTGCTGCTCCTGTGCTGCTAGAACTAGTCTTGCTAATCCTGTTGCTGCTGACACATCGGGTTTAGAGTTTAGGGTTCAGGGCTCAGGGCTTTGGGTTTGGGATTTAGGTTTGAGAGTTTGGAGAACTACCCTTATAGTACGCTTATCGAAACCCTATAGAAACCCTTATAGATCCCCCTCAAAGGAACCCTAAAACGGGACCCCTTTAAAGGAACCCTAGAGAGGGACCCTGTAGAAGCCCTTATAGACCCCCTTAAAGGAACTCTAAAGAGGGACCCGAATTTAGATACCTACCGGTATTCTTTTCGTCAGGAGCTCTGCGAAGAAGAGTCCCGCTTGCTGGCCAAGGCCTCCGATGTCCCATTTAGAGAATTTGGGATTTAGTTTTTTATTTTTGCAGGTTTCAGGGGTTTTGAGGGTTTACAGTGTTAAGGTGTTTTTTTTTTTTTAAGTTTTGGGGTTTAGGTTATTGTAGGGTTTTAGGGTTTTAGGGGTGGGGTTTAGGGTTTAAAGGAGGCCCTCAAGGATGTGGAAAGTCTGTGGACTGAATCCCCACTTTGCCTCCATTGCTTAGCTGATCTGACGCATATTATAGTACACTAGGGGATCTTTAAAGGGATCCTTTAAAAGGGTTCCTTACAGAAATCTATAAGGGTTCTATAAAGGGTTTAGGGTTTAGAGTTTCCGAAAGTTAGCGGTACCTTATGTTGGGGGTCCTTAGAATAAGGATCCTACTATGTAGGGTACTATGTTAGGGTCCCCTATTTCCGGAAACTCCCATATAGAGCAGCAATGAATATGCAAACGGATGGATCCTTTGCATGCAACAACAGATAGATAATGCGATAGCTCAGAAGATAGGTAAGCAGGCATACTTACTTGGAAGGGCAGGGGACTTAGTAAGTAGGTTATAAGTAGAGTTATTTATGGGCTGCCGCCACTGCCGCCGACCCCAAAAGAAGAGAGGTGACTATCCAAGGAACGCAGCAGGTGTTGAAAGCAGCCACTGCAAGTCTTGTAACTGGCACGAGTAGCATGAGCACATGACTGATGCGGCGAAGTATTCGGACTGACGCAGTGCTCAGCTCTCGGACATTGTGTGCGCATGTTTCAGCAACCTTGTGACTCAGAGGCAAAAGGCATCCGCACAAAATCGAGTTTAGCAGGAGGGCTGTATTCGATATGCTTAAGATACGGAACCAGTGCAGTTGTGGCCATGGGATGGTACGACAAAAAAAAAGTCGCGCGCGCGGCGGCGCATCGCAAAGCCGGGGCGGGCAGTGAGGACAATAAAGGTAGTGAGGGCGGTGGGGGCGGTATTGGCGGTGGGGGCGATCGGGGTGGTGGGGCAGTGTGGGCGTAGGCGGTGGGGGCGGTGTGGCGGGTGGTGTGGGCGGTGGGGGCGGTGGGGGCGGTGTGGGCGGTTGGGCGGTGTGGGCGGTGGGGGCGGTGGGGGCGGTGTGGGCGGTGTGGGCGGTGGGGGCGGTGGGGGCGGTGGGGGCGGTGTGGGCGCGGGGGGGTCCGGGTTGGCAGCCTTTAAATACTCTTTACTCTTTAAACACCTACAAATACAGCGGGCGGTGAGAGCGGTGGAGACGGTGTGGGCGCGGGGGGGTCCGGGCACACATTGGCAGCCTTTAATTACTCTTTAATCTTTAAACACCTACAAATACAGCGGGCGGTGAGAGCGGTGGAGACGGTGGGAACGGTGAAAGCGGTGGAGGGGGATGAAGGTGGTGGGGGTGGTGAGGGCGGTGAGGGCGGTGTGGGCGGTGGGGGCGGTCGGTGTGGGCGGTGGGGGCGGTGTGGGCGCGGGGGGGTCCGGGCACACATTGGCAGCCTTTAAGTACTCTTTACTCTTTAAACACCTACAAATACAGCGGGCGGTGAGAGCGGTGGAGACGGTGGGAACGGTGAAAGCGATGAAGGTGGTGGGGGTGGTGAGGGCGGTGAGGGCGGTGTGGGCGGTGGGGGCGGTGTGGGCGGTGTGGGCGGTGGGGGCGGTGGGGGCGGTGTGGGCGCGGGGGGGGTCTGGGCACACATTGGCAGCCTTTACTCTTTAAACACCAACAAATACAGCGGGCGGTGAGAGCGGTGGAGACGGTGGGAACGGTGAAAGCGGTGGAGGGGGATGAAGGTGGTGGGGGTGGTGAGGGCGGTGAGGGCGGTGTGCATGGGCGGTGGGGGCGGTGTGGGCGGTGTGGGCGGTGGGGGCGGTGGGGGCGGTGTGGGCGCGGGGGGGTCCGGGCACACATTGGCAGCCTTTAAATACTCTTTACTTTTTAAACACCTACAAATACAGCGGGCGGTCAGAGCGGTGGAGACGGTGGGAACGGTGAAAGCGGTGGAGGGGGATGAAGGTGGTGTGGTTGGTGAGGGCGGTGAGGGCGGTGTGGGCGGTGGGGGCGGTGTGGGCGGGCGGGGGTCCGGGCACACATTGGCAGCCTTTAAATACTCTTTACTCTTTAAACACCTACATATACAGCGGGCGGTGAGAGCGGAACGGTGAAAGCGGTGGAGGGGGATGAAGGTGGTGGGGGTGGTGAGGGCGGTGAGGGCGGTGTGGGCGGTGTGGGCGGTGGGGGCGGTGTGGGCGGTGTGGGCGCGGAGGGGTCCGGGCACACATTGGCAGCCTTTAAATACTCTTTACTCACTCTTTAAACACCTACAAATACAGCGGGCGGTGAGAGGGGTGGAGACGGTGGGAACGGTGAAAGCTGTGGAGGGGGATGAAGGTGGTGGGGGTGGTGACGGCGGTGAGGGCGGTGTGGGCGGTGGGGGCGGTGTGGGCGGTGGGGGCGCGGGGGGGTCCGGGCACACATCGGCAGCCTTTAAATACTCTTTTTAAACACCTACAAAAACAGCGGGCGGTGAGAGCGGTGGAGACGGTGGGAACGGTGAAAGCGGTGGAGGGGGATGAAGGTGGTGGGGGTGGTGAGGGCGGTGGGGGCGGTGTGGGCAGTGGGGGCGGTGGGGGCGCGGGGAGGTCCGGGCACACATCGGCAGCTTTTAAATACTCTTTACTCTTTAAACACCTACGAGAGCGGTGGAGACGGTGGCAACGGTGAAAGCGGTGGAGGGGGATGAAGGTGGTGGGGGTGGTGAGGGCGGTGAGGGCGGTGTGGGCGGTGGGGGCGGTGTGGGCGGTGTGGGCGCGGGGGTCTGGGCACACATTGGCAGCCTTTAAATATTTTTTATTCTTTAAACACCTACAAATACAGCGGGCGGTGAGAGCGGTGGAGACGGTGGGAACGGTGAAACCGGTGGAGGGGGTGGTGGGGGTGGTGAGGGCGGTGAGGGCGGTGTGGGCGGTGGGGGCGGTGTGGGCGGTGTGGGTGGGCGGTGCGGACGGTGGGGGCACGGGGGGGTCCGGGCACACATTGGCAGGCTTTAAATACTCTTTACTCTTTAAACACCTACAAATACAGCAGGCGGTGAGAGCGGTGGAGACGGTGGGAACGGTGAAAGCGGTGGAGGGGGATGAAGGTGGTGGGGGTGGTGAGGGCGGTGAGGGCGGTGTGGGCGGTGGGGGCGGTGTGGGCGGTGGGGGCGCGGGGGGGTCCGGGCACACATTGAGCGGTGGAGGGGGATGAAGGTGGTGGGGGTGGTGAGGGCGGTGAAGGCGGTGTGGGCGGTGGGGGCGGTGTGGGCGGTGGGGACGGTGTGGGCGGTGTGGGCGGTGTGGGCGCGGGGGGGTCCGGGCACAGATTGGCAGCCTTTAAATACTCTTTACTCTTTAAACACCTACAAATACAGCGGGCGGTGAGAGCGGTGGAGACGGTGGGAACGGTGAAAGCGGTGGAGGGGGATGAAGGTGGTGGGGGTGGTGAGGGCGGTGAGGGCGGTGTGGGCGGTGGGGGCGGTGTGGTGGTGTGGGCGGTGTGGGCGGTGTGGGCGGTGTGGGTGCGGGGGGGTCCGGGCACACATTGGCAGCCTTTAAATACTCTTTACTCTTTAAACACCTACATATACAGCGGGCGGTGAGAGCGGTGGAGACGGTGGGAACGGTGAAAGCGGTGGAGGGGGATGAAGGTGGTGGGGGTGGTGAGGGCGGTGAGGGCGGTGTGGGCGGTGGGGGCGGTGTGGGCGGTGGGGGCGCGGGGGGGTCCGGGCACACATTGGCAGCCTTTAAATACTCTTTACTCTTTAAACACCTACAAATACAGCGGGCAGTGAGAGCTGTGGAGACGGTGGGAACGGTGAAAGCGGTGGAGGGGGATGAAGGTGGTGGGGGTGGTGAGGGCGGTGAAGGCGGTGTGGGAGGTGGGGGCGGTGTGGGCGGTGGGGACGGTGTGGGCGGTGTGGGCGGTGTGGGCGCGGGGGGGTCCGGGCACACATTGGCAGCCTTTAAATACTCTTTACTCTTTAAACACCTACATATACAGCGGGCGGTGGAGAGCGGTGGAGACGGTGGGAACGGTGAAAGCGGTGGAGGGGGATGAAGGTGGTGGGGGTGGTGAGGGCGGTGAGGGCGGTGGTGTGGGCGGTGGGGGCGGTGTGGGCGGTGTGGGCGGTGTGGGCGGTGGGGGTGCGGGGTGGTCCGGGCACACATCGGCAGGCTTTAAATACTCTTTACTCTTTAAACACCTACAAATACAGCGGGCGGTGAGAGCGGTGGAGACGGTGGGAACGGTGAAAGCGGTGGAGGGGGATGAAGGTGGTGGGGGTGGTGAGGGCGGTGAGGGCGGTGTGGGCGGTGGGGGCGGTGTGGGCGGTGGGGGCGGTGTGGGCGCGGGGGGGTCCGGGCACACATTGGCAGCCTTTAATACTCTTTACTCTTTAAACACCTACATATACAGCGGGCGGTGAGAGCGGTGGAGACGGTGGGAACGGTGAAAGCGGTGGAGGGGGATGAAGGTGGTGGGGGTGGTGAGGGCGGTGAGGGCGGTGTGGGCGGTGGGGGCGGTGTGGGCGGTGGGGGCGCGGGGGGGTCCGGGCACACATTGGCAGCCTTTAAATACTTTGTAAAAGTAAGGGCGGCGGTGGCGGTAGGGGCGGTGTGGGCGCGGAGGGGTCTGGGCACACATTGGCAGCCTTTAAATACTCTTATTTTTTTTTGACACCTACAAATACAGCGGTGAAGGACTCTTTAAACAGGGCGGTGGTGGAGGTTGTGAGGGCGGTGGGGGCGGTGAGGACGGTGGGGGCAGTGGGGGCGCGGAGAGGTCCGGGCACACATTGGCAGCCTTTACATACTCTTTAAACACCTACAACTACAGCGGAGAAAGACTCTCTGAACAGAGCGGTGGAGGCGGTGGAAGGTGTGGGTGCGGACACCTCTCGGGATATCACGGGCGCCGCCCGCAGGGGTCGGCGGAAAAGGAGCCCTTTAAAGGGAACCCCAGGGCCCCTAAGTAGGCATTAAAGCAGCAAGCATCAGGAAGCCTTGCGACTCAACGTCCTCTTCCTCCTCTCTCGGGAGTCGCGATGCGACGCAGCGGCGGAGCGTCTCCAGGAACACGTATATCATTTGGGGCTTAGGTTTAGGGGTTTAGGGGTTTAGGGGTATATCATTTGGGGCTTAGCGTTTAGGGTTAGGGGTTTGGGGGTTTCAGGGTATATCAATCCTAGCCGTAGACGCTAAAGCCCTAAACTTGCATATCCAATATCTTTAACTGCCGAACCCCGAGCCGCTAATTCATCCAATGAGCTGCAAATCCCTAGCATTTAGGGTTTAGGGTTTAGGGTTTAGCGTGTGGAGCCTCTGGTCACTTCGGGGTAGAGTTTCGACACCCTTCGTATGCAGCTCCGACAACTTTTTGCAGGCAAAATGGGCTTCCGGTCAGAGCTTAAGCCTTGCCCCAGAAACCCTAAACCCCTTTCTAGTGCCCCAAACCATAAACCCTAAACGCCCACGCCCCGAACAATAAACCCCTAAACCCTAAACTCTGGGAAAGACTTGGATTTGAGAGTCGGGAGAATCGCCACAGTATTGGGGTATAGTATTGAGTTTTTCCTCGGAAGCAAGGCTCTGGGTTTCGGGTTCATCATCTGGGTTTTAGGGGTTTGGGTTTAGGGTTTAGGATTTGGGGTGTAGGGTTTAGGCTTTAGGGTTTAGGGTGTAGGATTGAGGGCTCCGTGCTAGAGTGGGGCGGAAATGGCTACCCAGAGCCCCGGCTACCAATTCCCCACAGAAGCAGTTTGTAAAGCAATCTGCAGTCTACTTAGAGGCCCAGGGGACTAAGTAAGTAGGTTATAAGTAGGGTTATATATAAGTACCTTAAGTGGAGTTGCGCCAACTATAATAACCCTACCTATAACCGACTTTCTAAGTATCCTAGGCTTCGAAGTATGTGATGAGAGGAGTTGGTGGCAGCTCTCAATCAGCTGGAGCCGCGGAACCACGACCTGGTGAGGGCCTTACTGCAGCGCTATCCGCGGATGAAAAGGGGAAGCATAAAAGTAACTGCCATCTTCTTCTGCCAGGTGTAGAGAACTGTCATCTAACGAGATTTAACCATATTGCAAGGCAGAATCACCGAACCGAAGCATTATTGTCATAACGTTAGTAACCAGGAACAGAGGTAGAGTGTCCTTCCAAACCACGGGCCTGTGCTCGACCTGGTATGATTCTGGGCGGTGTTCACTCTTGCCGGCCACGACGGTTCAATTCTCTACGAGGTCCTGCGTGAAAACATCAAGATCAAGTATGACGCCTTGTTTTGACAGCCTGGCAGGCATATGTCCGCGTCTGCAATGTGCAGCTGCTGCCGGATCCAAAATCCGTACATAAGAAGCCAGAGCCAAATCCAACAACAAATTGCAAGACGAGTCCAAGATGAAATCCGCAACGGCGTGATGGGCAAGGTGAACAATGAAAGCCTACGTGCTGCTGATGGAAGCAGGTTTGGGAACGTATGCACCATGCCGTGGTAACTAACCCTAAACCTACACTCCCACCCTAAACCCTAAACCCTCAACCCTCAACGCTAAACCCCTAACCCTAAACCCTAAACCCTAAGCCCCTAACCCCAAACCCTAAAACCTTAAACCCTGAACCCTAAACCCTAAAACCTTAAACCCTGAACCCTAAACCCTAAAACCTTAAACCCTGAACCCTAAACCCTAAAACCTTAAACCCTGAACCCTAAACCCTAAATCCTAAACCCCTAACCCTAAACCCTAAACCCTAAGCCCCTAACCCTAAACCCTAAAACCTTAAACCCTGAACCCTAAACTCTAAAGCCTGGAGATCGAGCCTTACTGACACAGAGCTGCTTGACCTCATGAGCTCCTTCTGGTGGGCGCTATCGGTTTAGGGGTTTAGGGGTTTAGGGGTTTAGGGTTTGGGGTTTAGGGTTTTAGGGTTTAGGGTTTTCGGGTTTCGGGTTTAGGGTTCAGGGTTTCGGGTTTAGGGTTTAGGGTATTTGCAAGAATTCAAAGGGTTCGCCAGATCTGCTTTTAGGATACCCTACTCTAGAGGCGCAGATCAAAGGGTCTCTGGGGTTTGACATAGTATGATAGTAACAGCACATGCAGGAACCCTCAGGAATATTATTACTAGCTACCCAGGCCCATCTATTCAACTCCGAAACTGTAAACCCTATCAGCCCTAAACCCTATAAACCATATAAACCCCAAACCCTATAAACCGTATAAGCCCTAAACCCTATAAACCCTATAAGCCCTAATTTGTTCGACTCCGAAACCGTCAGCATCAGTCCTGACAAACCCAAGCCCTATCAGATCGAAGCGTGAGAGCAAGAGCATCCAAGACACTATATCCGCAGTCCCGTCACGTACACCCTGAACTCGTAACCAATTCATCCTTAAACCCTAAGCCCTAAATCCTTAACCTCTTCACCCCCAAACCTTAAACCTTATGTAAGCCCCAAAACCCGAAACCCTATCAACCCTAAACCCTTAGCCTCTTCAACCCTAGACCTTAAACCCTAAACTCCCCTAAACCTTAAACCCCTAAACCCAAAACCCCTAAACCCCAAACCCTATATATATACATATATATATAAACCCTAAACACCCACCTCGAACCCCATATATCCTAACCCCCCTAAACCCTAAACCCAAAACCCCTAAACCCCAAACCCTATAAACCCTACAAGCCCTATAAACCATATAAGCCCTATAAACCCTATAAACCCTATAAGCCCTATAAACCCTATAAACCCTATAAACCTTCGCCTCGGACCCAGAGACTCCAATATCCCATAATGAAGGAATATTCCTTAAATCATGTTAGGGATCCGACCACAATTCAAGGTACATTCCGTAATTAAGGGGCATTGGAGTCTCTGGGGACCCAAAACCCGCCCTAAACCCTAAACCCTTAAAGAACCCCTATAGATCCCTTTAAAGGGACCCTGGAATCCCCAAGCGCCTCGGACCCCCGACGTTGAACTCCCAGGCTCTCTCCTGCGCGCAGCTCTTCTCGCGGCTCGCTGGCCGTCACAAAGCGAGCCTCGGCGAACATCGTAGCAGGCTTTGGGCTTAAGGGGTTTAGGGTTTAGGGTTTAAGGGGTTTAGGGTTTTCGGGGGTTTAGGGGGTTTAGGGTTTAGGGTTAAAGGGGTTTAAGGGTTTTTGCCTCGCGAGGGTTTCGGGTTTAGGGTTAAAGGGGTTTAGGGTTTAGGGCTTGGGGGTTTAAGGTTTAGGGTTTTAGGGTTTATGATTTGGGTGTGGGGTTGAGGGGTTTCGGGAGCCGGTCTGGGGGGTTTGGGGTTTAGGATTGAGCGGTGACGGGGCTAAGGGCTTAGGGTTTAGGGCTTCGGGTTTAGGGTTTAGGGTTTCGGGCTTAGCATTGCAATAGTCAGTGGTCCTTCGAAGGTGCTCGTTAAAAGGGATCCCGAAAGCAGGGATCCTTGAAAACTAGGCCGCGGTTGAAACGACTTGTTGTCGCCAAGCACGGCCCAGTATAGGGAACCCTCAACACCACTTAAAGGGTTTAGGGTTTAGGGTTTAGGGTTTAGGGTTTAGGGTTTAGGGTTTAATACTTACCAATACTATTTTGCGGGTTCCTTATTATAGTTATTTTAATTATTAAGGCGCCTATAATGCGGGATCATCAAGCTTAGACACCTTTTGTAAAGCCCGATCAACCCACACAGGGTTTCCTCGGGATGGGGGCCGAGGGTTTTGGGCTTTCCAAACAAGGCCACTCAATGTGCGAAGAGTTGGAACTCTGGCGGGATAGCGCAGTATGTGGTATTTGCCCTTATTGGGCTTCAGAGGAGGCGTTAAAGGGCCAGCCTAGTGGATCAGGAGTGATGCTGCGGCAGGACGAAAGTTTCCTATTCCTCCGGAACACTACAGTAGAAAAAGTAACACGGGGTATGCGATACTCCGCTGGACAGGCCTCGGCACTCTGCTACTCCACAAGACGTCTTAAGACAAGAAAGGTCCAGTGGGTCAAAACTTCAAAACTTTTGTCCTTCCGATATGGTACCCCCTTAGAGTCCCGAAACACTTACATCAACCCTATCTACTAAGCCTATCGGGGTCCACCCGCCGCCCACCTACTATAGAAGTACGAAGAACTAGTATATAATGCTATCCCCTTATAGTCCCGAATACAATTGTAGTTCATTATACACCCTTAAAACCGTATTCTTATTCTTGATGAGCCCCAACTGTCATCACCTAAAACCGTAACCCCAATGTACTCAACCCCTAACCCCAAAAGCTGGGTTCCAGACCGGACAGCGTACCAAAGAAACCTAAACATATATTGAAGAGACCCTAAAACAGCAATCCCGCAAGTCTACACCTAAGTCCACCACCCACCCTAAACCCTAAACCCCTTAAACTTACCTTTGGTTAGTAGGGAATGGAGGAATGGGTTACAAGTATAACTACTATTACTACCATTCTTCCATTCCCTACTAACCAAAGGTAAGTAAACGAAAACCCTAAACCCTAAACCCCTTAAGCGAATCCCTTCATGGATCCCTGATAATGTGAGCCTGGCTAGTCCGAGGATCCTAAACATCACGCAGCAGATGATCAAACGGTGCACTGACTCAGCGCCAGACCAGGCGGGGTTTGGGTTTAGGGGGTATGAGTTCCCCATCTTCGTGGTTGCTATCGCAGCATCATTCTTGTCATCTTTTCTCTGTAGGGTTTGGGGTTTCAGGTTTTGGGCTTAGGATGTAGGGTTTAGCAGCCTTGCTATGTCATTCATACCACTCCCTTGTAGTCCCTAGTATCGCAGTCTCCAAACCGTAGGCCCGGATTAGTCTAGGTACTAAGGCCTCCATGTTAGAGTTCTGGGCTCAGGGGATCGTTTAAGGCTGAAGGGTTGGGGGTGTGTATGGGGCTCTACTTGGAGGGCCGGGGGACTTAGTAAGTGGGTAGTAGGTAGACTTATAAGTACCCTAAAAGGGACCCTGATTGGGGTTATGGTACTTATCAGTCCCTAAAATAACCAGTTACTAAGTCCCCCTAGGGTATCGGGCTGTAGTTTACACGTTTTACATAGCGGTTTGGGTCGAGAGTTCGAAATGTAAAACTTCCCGGCCGAGTTTGCGGAGTTGCGCCGGAGCCCTGAGGACCCTAAACCCTACACAGCCCTTAAAGGAACCCTAAACCCTAAACCCCTAAACCCTAAACCCTAAGCCCTAAACCCCCTACTTATAACTACCCAGGAACCTCCAAGTAGGGGCCAGGCCCACGGACAGAGAGCTTGAGAGTTGGTTGCATGGCTCTTTGACCCAAGCCCTCGGCAAAATACTGCCGGATTTCTTGAGGGCTTGAGTTGGGGGGTTTAGGGGTTTAGGGTTTAGGGCTTAGGGGTTTAAGGTTTAGGGGTTTAGGGTTTTAGGGTTATTAGGGGTTTATGGTTTAGGGTTTTAGGGCTCAGGGTTTTAGATGCTCCTCGTCCTGGCTGGTTTCGATAGGCGTTAGAAGCAAGATGCCAGGCGAAGTACCTGACAGAGCTGGGGTACCAGTTCATGATGCCACATGGCTACGGCTTCGTTAAAGCTTCCCAGAGACTCCAATATCCCTTAATTGAGGAATATTCCTTAGATCATATGAGGGATCCGATTATAATTTAAGGTATATTCCTTAACTAAGGGATATTGGAGGCTCTGGGCTCCATGACGGTTTGTATGGGTTTTGGGATTGAGGGCAGGTGGGGGTTGAAGGCATCACTGCGTATAGGCTGATAAGGGTGGTTGTCAAAATTAGGGTCCCTTTCTGGGTACCCTAAATAAGAGGTGCCGCATTATAACAGGGACCCAAAAAGGGACCCTATTTTGACAACCACCCATACGTACTTCTCTAAATGAGGGCCCAGATGTCCAGTGTTAATGTAGAAGGCTTATTAGTCGCGTATGTTATTGCCTAGGCTTCCTTATAGTACTTAGAGAAGAACTTGCGACGAGCTGTAGTGGGACCAGCGGCAGGCTCAGCATGACCTCGGATTGTGGACTTTAGGGTGTAGGGTTTGTGGTTCGGGTTTAGAGCTCAGAGTGTAGGGTCTAATTTGGGGTGCGGGTTTTCGAGTTTAGATTTTCGAGTGTGCGATCCTAAACCCTAAACCCTAGAACCTAAACCCTAGTCCCGGCTTCTGGGTGTAGGGTAGAAGCCCTAGCACCGTGTTGTGCCTGTGCAGAGAAAGGCTGGGTTCTTGTTCTGAAACTTAAGTTACCATTAAAAGGACCTATAGTCTATACTGAACAATATTGGTTCCTTTTATGGTAACTGAACCCTAAACCGCCTAGACCCTAAACAATCGTGCATGATATGCATGCGGAGAAGAGAGTTCCCAAAAGACCCTACATAAACCCCTGGATCCCTTAACAAGAACCCAGTCTGCCCAGGCAAGGCGCCTTGACGCAAGCGGAGCAAACCTTCCACCTTGCCGTGGCCAAGGATGAGACGGATGTGAGGCGGGCGGGGTTAGGGGTTTAGGGGTTTAGGGTTTAGGGTTTAGGGGTTTAGGGTTTAGGGTTTAGGGGTTTAGGGGTTTAGGGTTTAGGGGTTTAGGGGTTTAGGGGTTTAGGGTTCAGGGTTTAAAGTTCAGAGTTTCGGGTTTCGGGTTTAGCGTCACGCTGTGGGGACAAAATCGAACCTGACACCCCTCAACCCCACATCAACAACCCGGAACACTTGACCCTTGTTGTCCTTCTGTGGGTTCATGCAAGGTTCATGGTTTGTGGTGATAGCTGGCCCAGGCTCGAAGTTGCAAGACGAGGTTTGGTGTTTCAGGGACCTAGGGTTTAGGGTTTAGGGGTTTAGGGTTTAGGGTTCAGGGCTTCAGCTCTCTCGGGGTTCAGGATTTCAATCAGAGCGGCTTGGGTTTGGAATTGCTACTGTCGGGATGCAGGCTTGCCTTTAGGTCTCTCTTTGAAGATAAGATACTTGAGAACCCGGCGTGTTCTTTTTTTTGCAAGGTCTCCCTTTGGGAACTGTTTTCCACACTCGAACCATCGAGGATTTGTGGAGCAGCCCTTCTCATCTATCTCCAATATCCCAATCTTCACTAGATCCCGGAGCCTATCCCTACCCGAGGGCTTTCCGCGGTAAACCATGACCTTGAAACCCGAACCCTAAACCCTAAATCCTCAAGCTCTAAATTCTGCGCCGAACGCAGGGCGCTCTTTGGGATCATCAACTGCCGCGTCCAAGAGGGGAACCTGGATGACGCAGAGGCTGTGAGTTATGGCCCACGGTTGGGTTTAGGGTTTCGGCTTTGGGGTTTGGGTTTAGGGTTTTCGGGCTTGGGGTCCAGGGTTTACAGTGGGGCTCCATACTGTTGATGATGCAAATTACCTTAAGGGCCCTAAACTATGGGAATTGTGGCCAATATTCCTTATTATGGGTAGCATTACCCATAATAAGGAATATACCACAATTCCCATAGTTTAGGGTCCTTAGGGTAATGCAGGATTTATATCATCAAATGTACGACCCAGACTGTAAGGATGCCAAAAAGTACGAAGTATACACCAAATCCTTTTCTAGCTTTTCAGCCCCCTTTTTGTTAGGCCCCTTCTCTACCTGGAGGGTCGCGGGGCTTAGTAAGTAGGTAGTAAGTAGGGGGTACCCTAACAGGGACCCTAATTGGTATTTCTAAAATAACCAGTTACTTAGCCCCCCGACCCTCCAGTATTACCCGATCCTTGAAGTCTCCCTCACATTTGACTCGCCCCCAACCCGAAGACCCAAATGCAGAGCCTGAATTTTGAGCATCAGATTCGCCCGGCAGGATGGCTGTGAGTTGTTTTTGAGCTTAGGACACGAAGTCGTAGTTGTCTGAAGATAATCGGCCCTAGCTACGTTGGGTTCTTAGGCGTGCATGTGGTCTGGATTGCAAGGCCCGAAACGGCCTGGGCACTGTGAGTTTCCTAAACCCCAAACCCTAAACCCAAACCCCAACCCCTAAAACCCACACCCCAAACCCTAAGTAAGCCTTGAACCCCAGACCCTAAACCCTACACCCGAGTGGGCACAGGCGTGTCGCTATGCCCCAGCAGGGCCCAAAAGCCTCAAAACTCTCCGCTGCGCGTCCAGGAGCAGCTGGAGTTCCTGGGCGAGATTCAGATCTCCGTGTCTTGGCACAGAAGTGTGGTTTCGAGCCTGGGGCCTTAAAGTTGCCAGAGACTCCAATATCCCTTAATTAAGGAATATACCCTAAATTCTAACAGGATCACTAATATGATTTAAGGAGTATTCCTTAATTAAGGGATATTGGAGTCTCTGGGTGCAGGATAAGGATCCTTGCCCTTTGACCATTTTGTGGTCCCTTGCTTCGAAATTGCTCAAGTGCGCCGCAGGCGGGCATTTGTGTCGAGAGCTTCAGCCTTGACACCAAGCCCTTGACTGTAAATCCTACATCCTACCTGGACCCTAAAGAACTTACCTTTTACAGAACTTGTTAATAACATAATGGAAATCCTAATACGGAGGCCAAAAAAGGTGGGTCATGTAGGGTTCAGGTAAAGTTCGTAACAGCCCTAAGTCTTGGTAGCCGTAAAACACACTAAACCACCAAAGCTTAGAACACCCTACAGAACCCTTCCAGAACCACTCCGATAGAAGCCCCCGCAGGAACCCTCCTGCAACGCTGCAAGGGCCTCCATAAAGCCCTCATAAATCCCTTATAAAGAAAGCGATTATAAAGCCCTTATGAAGCCCTGATAAAGCTCTTATATAGCCCGAAACCCTAAACCCTATACCCCCTAAACCCTACCCCCTAAACCCTAAACAAAAAACGAAACCAATTTAAACCTCGACCTTCCTATGAAACTCAGGTGGGCAAGTCTCCAGACCTTGCCTTCCTCCAATCCCTCATCGCCTGGCGGAAGCGCCGGGATGCTGAGGGAGCCCTGAACCTCCTCAACGCCCCTTGGCCTTTTGTTTGGGTTGAGGGTTTAGGGTTCAGGGCTTGGGGTTGAGGGTTTAGGGTTTTGTATTTTGGGCTTAGGTTTGTATCGTTTTAGGTGAAAGTGGTCTGAAGGTGTGTTGTCGCGCTTCACAGAATGTTTAGACGGGTGTGCGCGCCCCTTGGGTACAATGCGGTCAGGATGCTGAGCCCGCCTAAACCCTGAAAGCCGCAGCCCAAAGTCCTGAGTCGTATGCCCGAAGCCAAACGCTCCCAAACGCCCCTAGCCAGGAACTGGAACCTTGCGCACCATGAACCCCAAATCCCAAACTTCAAAGCCTACTGCGCAGGAAACCTTGACACTCCACATTACGAACTTCAAAGCCGCTGTGGGCTACGATTTCTTCATCAAGCTCAACGCGGACTTCATGCTCGACATCGCGCGCGAGCAGCTTTCCTGGTGTCGAGATTTCCTTTCCACGGGTTTACTTGGAGGTAAATGGGTATTACATAATTAAGTGGGGTTATAAGTCCCCCACTTTGGGTTAAGCATAACTCGAGCTACTCTACTTGTAAATCCACTTGTTACTACCAATCAGCCTCCAAGAAATGTAGAGGCCTTTATAATTACCTATACTAATTTGGTGGTTCCTTCATATAAATATAATAAAATGGGCCCCAAAACCCTATTCTAATTATTAAGGCCCCTGTATTATAGTCAGCAGATATTTCTGGTGTCTACGGCGGAGGTGTTCTCAGTAAATAAGAGGATGCCTCCGCGATATGATTGCTTCGGGAGCAGCTGGGGAGAGCTTGGGGAGTGGGTTGGGAGTTATGAAGTTGGGAGCAGCTGGGGAGTGGGTTGGGAGCACTAAAGAAGATAACTGCTGAAATCGGCACTTGGGCCCCTCCCGAAGCCGACCCGGATTCTTAAGGAAACCCGAACCGCCCTTCCGAAGACGACCCCGCTACTTGCCCAAAAAGAATTCGGACCTGCATCCGGAAGAAGGCAGAGCAAATTTGGCTTGAGGTGTGTCTTGGAGGGTGTTTGGCTTGGACTGGAAGGTAGTGAGTAGGTTGGGAGGAGGTTGGGAGTGGGTTGGGAGGAGGTTGGGAGTGGGTTGGGAGGAGGTTGGGAGTGGGTTGGGAGGAGGTTGGGAGTGGGTTGGGAGGAGGTTGGGAGTGGGTTGGGAGGAGGTTGGGAGTGGGTTGGGAGGAGGTTGGGAGTGGGTTGGGAGTGGGTTGGGAGGAGGTTGGGAGTGGGTTGGGAGGAGGTTGGGAGTGGGTTGGGAGGAGGTTTGGGAGGAGGTTGGGAGTGGGTTGGGAGGAGGTTGGGAGGAGGTTGGGAGTGGGTTGGGAGGAGGTTGGGAGTGGGTTGGGAGGAGGTTGGGAGTGGGTTGGGAGGAGGTTGGGAGGAGGTTGGGGAGTGGGTTGGGAGGAGGTTGGGAGTGGGTTGGGAGGAGGGTTGGGAGGAGGTTGGGAGTGGGTTGGAGGAGGTTGGGAGGTTGGGAGTGGGAGGAGGTTGGGAGGAGGTTGGGAGTGGGTTGGGCGAGGTTGGGAGTGGGTTGGGAGGAGGTTGGGAGTGGGTTGGGAGGAGGTTGGGAGTGGGTTGGGAGGAGGTTGGGAGTGGGTTGGGAGGAGGTTGGGAGTGGGTTGGGAGGAGGTTGGGAGTGGGCTGGGAGGAGGTTGGGAGTGGGTTGGGAGAGGGTTGGGAGGAGGGTGGAGGAGCGTTGGGAGTGGGTGGAGGAGGTTGGGAGTGGGTTGGGAGGAGGTTGGAGGAGGTTGGAGGGGAGGAGGGGTTGGGAGGAGTTTGTTGGGGAGGAGTTGGGCTGGGAGGGTGGAGTGGTTGGGAGGAGGTTGGGGAGGGGTTGGGGAGGAGGTTGGGAGGGGTTGAGGGGAGGAGGAGGTTGGGAGTGGGTTGGGGAGGAGTGGGTTGGGAGGAGGTTGGGGAGGAAGTTGGGATTGGGAGGTTGGAGGTTGGGAGTGGGTTGGGAGGAGTGGGTTGGGAGGAGGTTGAGGGGTTGGGGGTGGTTGGGAGGAGGTTGGGAGTGGGTTGGGGGAGGTTGGGAGTAGGTTGGGAGGAGGTTGGGAGTGGGTTGGGAGGAGGTTGGGAGTGGGTTGGGAGGAGGTTGGGAGTGGGTTGGGAGGAGGTTGGGAGTGGGTTGGGAGTGGGTTGGGAGGAGGTTGGGGAGTGGGTTGGGAGGAGGTTGGGAGTGGGTTGGGAGGAGGTTAGGAGGGCTGGGAGGAGGTTGGGAGTGGGTTGGGAGGAGGTTGGGAGTGGTTGGGGAGGTTGGGAGTGGGTTGGGAGGAGGTTGGGGGTTGGGAGGGGAGGAGAGGGTTGGGAGAGGGTTGGAGTGGGAGTGTTGGGAGAGGGGGAGAGGGTTGGGAAGGGTTGGGAGAGGGTTGGCACCCAACACCATGCTTACGAAGACGACCCAGAGGAAACTGTGACCAAACACCACACTTACGAAGACGACCTAGCAAATATGCATACCCCCACACCCTTTCTTATATAGTGAGAACACCTACTTTGAAGACACCAGAAAAATGCCTGGATATAGTGCCCTTATAGATCCCTTATAGACGCCCTTAAGGAACCCTTTAAAGGGAACCCTATTCTAATTATTAAGGCCCCTCCAAGTAGGGCTTCGGGATCTCCTTTTAGCGGATCTTCCGACTCCAAAGTTTTGTCGGGTTTAAGGCTCGGGGTTTAGGGTGTAGGTGGGGCTTGCAGGCATGCCCCCAAAACCTAAACCCTAAAAGAGCCCTAAACCCTAAAAAAACCCCAAACCGTAAACCCTAAAAGCCCCTAAACCCTAAACTAAACCCTAAACCGGGGTTTTCAAGATGGCTGGGGTATCGCATCCTGACTTCGGCCTGCTCAGTTGGTTTCAGGCCCAAGTCTCTGCCGCAGTGCAATACTGACCGTCACCAGCATCATCAGCTCACCTTCTCCGTCTTCCATTTAGTTCTTCGACGCAGTTGTATCGTATACTGTCCTGTCCTCTCAACCCAACTCTACCAGCAAGTTTCGAGTAAGCCACAGCCCTTTTCACAAAAGGCGTTTTGGCCCCTACATCAACCATGAGCCCAAGCTCACACCAGCAATGAGTCTTGTTTGGGGTTTGGGTTTTTAGCGTTTGGTCGGACGTCAGTCAGGGTTTGGGGTGCAGGATGCTGCTGAAGTGCAGCATCGCAGCAAATCTCAAAAGCCGAACTGACATGCAAGTCAATTGGTTTAATAGCTGAAGCCACCGACTTTCTAAGCAACTCAGCGCGTCCTGTCTGTTCAACACCCAAAACCCTAAACCCCTAAACCCTAAACCCTAAACCCTATTGGGGCTATACCCAGAACCCAAGCCCCGAACCCTAAACCCTAAACCTTTATAGGCTCTGCCTCCGGGATAGGGGAATCACATGATCCGCCAAGGTATTTGCAGCATACCCTCACAGGCCAGGGCTGAGGGTCAGCGTATATAGAGGGGTTTAGGGTTGAGGGTTTAGGTGTATGAAGGGCGTTATAAGGAGCCGCAAGCCCTAAACCCTCAGCCCTAAACCATAAATGGCATGAAGCACTTCAGGGTGTGAGTTCGGGCACCGTAACTTCCGAAACACCATTCTGCGAGGATCCTGTTTTTAAATGTCAGCAGGCTCGACGACCACGCTTGTCACTTCTGCAGTGCTGAGTTAATTTGACCCTTAGGACTCAATTCTTTGTTTTGCCCCTTGACCACAAAGCGCCCAGAGGCTCCAATACCCCTTGATTAAGGAATATACCGAAGATACCTTAAACCATATGAGGGTTCCTATCATGAGCTACGGTATATTCCTTAAAGGGGTGTTGGAGCCTCTGGGCCTCAAGCTCACACCTGTATAAGGCTTGAGGACATTTGCTTCGGGTTAGGTGGCTTTCTGACTCTGTGCAGGAGGATGTCGAACGTTACCGATCCCCACCACCCCAAACCCTAAACCCTTGGAGCGATTCTAGGCTCTCTGCAGTTTGGAAAAAGGCCTGAAGAAAGCCTTAAATGTAGAAGCCCTATGGGGTCCTTTTGCCCCAAAACCCTAAACCGTACAAACCTTGAACACCGAACCCCAAACCCAAAACCGTGTCCAGGGCTCAGGCGTAGCAGGTTTGCAGACTCCTAGGGGTCGGAATAGTTGCTAACTTATTCTATTCTTTTGTTTCCTTATTCCTTACTATAACTATGCCAGCAACTGACCCAAGACCCTATTCTAGTGATGAAGGCGACTGTATTGGGGTGAGGGGCCCGCCAGCGAAGACAGTACTATCCTGCATTCGATCCTCAGCATTGAAAACTTTAAAACCCTAAGGGCAAACCCTCAAGTTTAACCCTAAACCCTAAACCCTAAGCCCCTAAACCCGAAACCGTGTCAAATTCTCGTCCCTGAACCCTGAAACGCGAAACCGCTTGGGCCCTGACCCCAAACATCCTCTTGGCACCAGAGCACCGCTTGAAGATCATACTTGAGAGAAGCTTGGGGCATGAGGACCTAGTTCCAAGAGCTCCAAAGTTCGCTCAAGAAAGGCTAGTAGGCTGTAGAGTCCTTAGGGTCATTAGGGTTTGGGGATCAAGCAGGGCCTTGAAACTGGAATCCCTGATCGCTAAGATCCCCGATTTTCTTCACCCGCCTCCCTGAATGAGAACTATAATAGTTTAGGGATATACCCTAGACCCTAAACCCTAAATCCTAAACCCTAAACCCCAAGCCCTAAACCCTAAGCCCTAAAACCCGAAACCCTAAACCCTGAATCCTAAACCCTGAACCCCAAAGGTTCCTCGCAGCCCTGCCCGACCGGGAAGGGTAAGCCGAAGGACAGAACTGCAGGTTCGACTCCTGATGGAGTCTTAAGGTTTAGGGTTTAGCGTTTAGGGCTTAGGGTTTAGGGTTTAGCGTTTCGGGTGTAGGGTTTAGCGTTTAGGGCTTTCCAGGAAGCGGCTGGCATGCAGATGGTCCGCTACGAGTCAGAAGCGAAAGCACGCAGTAAGTCAAGTAGAGCCGCGGCTCTATCTGATCCTTCCAAGGTCGATGGCTTGACCTTGCATCATTTGTGCCCATATGCGGCGGGCACAAATTCAGCACAATTATGAGCAATGCTCATTGGGTGCTGCCATCATCGTTGGGGGCCTGATCAGCTTGATGCCTATGGGTGGTTGTCAAAATTATGGCCCCTTTTTGGGTACCCTAAGTAATAGGTGCCGTGCTATAATAGGGACCCCAAAAGGGACCATCATTTTGACAGCCACCCATATCAGGACCATCAGCCTCTATGCTGACAGGACCAAACCACATCGGACGCACGTCAGCAGCCTGCTCAGCCTGCTGTATGACTTGGGGCGTTGTCAAACGTATGGTCCCTTTTCAGGTGCCCTAAATAATGGGTAGTTGTATGTATTATAATGGGGGCCCAAAAAGGGACCGTACTTTTGACAACCACCCACTTGTCTGTTTGGAACTATTTTAATGGAACACAGGTCCACACATCGGCTGCGAGAGGCTTGAGACTCCTAGAGTTTGGTGCAGGGTTTAGGGGTTTAGGGCTTAGGGGTTTAAGGTTTAGGGTTTAGGGTTTAGGGAGAAGCGAATCTTGGCGCAGAATTGGTCTGCCATCACTACGTCAACGCAGGCCACGACAGTGAGGGTCATCAGTGAGCCTTTCCGCAACTTCTCAGCGGCATCAGTTGATGCTGGTTACGTGTAATTAAAGCCCTAAACCTTAAACCCTAAACCCTAAACCCTAAACCCCCCACCGTAAACCCGAAACCCTACACCTCGACAACAAAAAGCAAAACCCGACCCTCAGCCCTTTACTTGGTTCATGGGTCGTTATAAGTGGGGTTACAAGTCCCTCGATATGGGTTGTAAGCATAGCTACCCTACTTATAACCCCACCTTTCAAACTACCCATGAACTAACCCTATACAGATACCCTTACAGAATCCCCACAGACCCCTTGAAAGGGACCCTTACAAGAACCCTTATAACTTATAACCCCGCTTTTTAAGCTACCCACGAACCCTATAAACCCTAAACCCTTATAGAATCCCTATAGATCCCTTGAAAGGGGCCCTTAAAACAAACCACTCATGAACCTCCCAGTATAGAACGAAAGAGCCCCCGAGGCGGTTCCGAGGATGCAGCCAAGCCGGGCGGCTATCTCCTCCGAGGGGTCCAGGTCGGGTTTAGGGTTTAAGGTTTAGGGTTTAGGCTTTAGGGTTTAGGGTTATTTGTGCTTTCGCGGTTTGGTTTGGCTTTAGGGTGCAGTGTGTGTGTGGGGCGTCTGCACTCTCATTTTCATTTTTGATTTGTTAGTACAGCTAGTTCGATACTGTTAACGATTGTCATGTTCTGAAGGCTTATGAGGGTTGTTAAAGGCGTTGACAGGGGCTTCATACCGGTAGTCCTTGGTTTTGAAAGCCGGAATCTTAAGCCCGACCACGCAGAAACGTCTCAAGTGAAATGAAACACATACCCTGAAGAGTTTTTGTGCGAAAACATACCCAAAGCACAACATGTTTGCTTCATTGAAAATCGGCCTGCGCCCGACGTTTTAACATGAAGCTCTCCGCACGCCCCGCAAACCTCAAACCCTACCTCAATCCCGACACCCCAAGTAGGGGCCCCAAAAGGACCCAAGCAGAAGCATTTTTCAGGGATATCCCTATCACATTGGGCATCATTTTAAGGGGGGCTTATCCTTATCCAGGACATGCCTGTCCTAAGTTTTGCCTATGTGTTTTTTCCTACCCAAACTCCCTACTTAGAGGATCATGGGACTTAGTAAGTAGGTCATAACTGGGCTTATAAGTCCCCTAAGCGGAGTCATCCTGATTATAACCTACTTATAACCTGAATTACTAAGTACCATGATCCTCTAAGTAGAGTCGAGTTTCTGACCTCTGCAGGTCCTGGAGACGTTGACGCGCTTCGTGCCAGGCCTCGTGCCGGCGCAGGCAGGAAGGATCCATACTGCTTGAGTAGACTTGTTTAGGTTTTAGGGTTTGGGGTCTACTTGGAGGGTCGGGGGACTTAGCAACTGGTTATTTTAGGGACTTATACGTACCACATCCGCAATTAGGGTCCCGTTTAAGGTGCTTATATAAGTCTACTTACTTCCTACTTACTAAGTCCACCGACCCTCCAAGTAGGGTTTGGAGTTTGGGGTTTAGGGGTGGGTCATAGAGTTTCGTCTGGGGATTTCGGTCTGAAAGTTTATGGGGTTTGAGGGTTTAGGATTCCATACATCTATGGGTGTGGGGTTGTGATCAATTGCATCTGTAGCTGCCCTTGTGGAGTCGCGGAACGTACCTGGATCGACCTGTCGAGAAGGGTCATCCAGAGGTTTAGTCACCCCTACACCTTTCAAATCCCCTCAGCGGTGGCCTTAAGTTCCCAGCCGGAACTCCGTATTTCACATCTTAGTTATGATCAACCTCAACCTAAAACCCTGAAGCCGCAGCCCAGACCCCTCAACCGTTAATTGCTGAGTAGCTGAGTGGATACACGTTACATGTTTTGGGATAATATTACCCACTATAAAACTAAAAGTGTACACCTTCTGGGGCTTATGAACTCAGCAACTAAGATTAACTTCAGGGCACGGAATCCTTCCAATTGAAGTTCAAAGCTCTGAACTTTGAACTGCACGGAGGCACGTCGATCTTGCTTTCTACGGTTGATGATATAAATCCTGCAGTACCTCAAGCACCCTAAACTATGGGAATTATGGTATATTTCCTATTATGGGTAATGCAGGATTTCTATCATCAACCGAATCACACCTCTGCAACTGCCGACCACAGTGCGCCCCTGTATCATGACACCGTAAACTCCGTAAGCCCTAAGTGCTAGGCCGAAAGCCCCCAGTCTTACATCTTAATGAAACCCTATACCTGCGAGGGTTTCGGGTCTAGGGGCTTTAAACAAACTCCTGTAACCAGACTAAACTGGAACAGTCTCGGCTCTTTGTCACCTGAAGTGTGAGATCCACAAGTGGAGGTGCTTCTGGCCAAAGCCAAAGCGGCCCTGAACGAAGTCGATGTTGCTTGGCCACATAGGGCTGGAATGAAAACTCTGATCTTTGGGGGTTTAGGGTTTAGTATCCGAAGGTCGAGCCCAAACCCTAAGGGCCGGTTTCCGGACTTCTCAACGGGCCGCGAGAACGCACTTGCGTGCATAGTCGTAGCATCCTCAGGCACGGTCTCTTTTGTCTTCGTCGTGCGCCTCTACATTTTTCGCCAAGCCCTGCACACTACTTGTTTTTGTTTGTGCATGTAGGTAGGTATTGTGCATGTGGGTACGGAAGAAGCAAACACACACAAAAAAGAAATAGCAACCAAATACAGAATAGATAGATAAGACGAATCACTGCTTAAATAAAGGACATGGGAAACAAATACATCTACAACAGATAAATAAAGCATGAAGAAACACACGAAGGAATGAGTAAGTGAGAGAACAACAAAGCAATGCAGAACTACGGTGGATGATATAAATCCTGCATGAGTTTGTAAGACACAGGCCGCTCCCCTTGAACCCCTGAATTTTAACATTGTCGCAGGCGGACGTGCTCTGATAGGACCGTGCGAATGATATAAATCCTGCATGACCTCCCCTCTGACATCAACATTGAAATTTAGGGGCGCGGGGATGCAATTGCTTTGACGATACATGATGGGCTGACCCACAGTCATGCACGATTTATATCATCAACAGTATGATAATACATGAAGAGTTACCTGCATAGACAAGCAGATAAATGAAATACACACATACATACATGCATACATGCATACGTACATATTCGTTCATTCGTTGATTCGTTCGTTCATTCATTCATGCATCCATTCATTCATTCGTTCATGCAGTCATACAAACGTTCATACAATCATAAATACAAACATTCATGCATTCATAAAACCATACATCCATAACTCTCATACATTCATTCATACATGCATGCATGCACTCGGTTTCACACATTCATACATACGGTTACATATAACCATGCACAACTATATGTATACATATATATATATATATATATATATATATATGAGGTATGATTTCATAAGCTATGCTATGATATCATGTCATCTGATTAGATATCGCTTGTGTTTCTCTTGCTGTTGAGAGGGGAGCACGAGGTGCCGATGTCTCCACAGTTCCTGTGCCGCGTCCCAGGGGCCCAAAGCAACCCCAAAGGAGTGCCTTTTAAAACTTCCCAAAGGAGTGCCTTCTAAAACTTCCCAAAGGAGTGCCTTCTAAAACTTCCCAAAGGAGTGCCTTCTAAAACTTCCCAAAGGAGTGCCTTCTAAAACTTCCCAAAGGAGTGCCTTCTAAAACTTCCCTGTGTCTGCGGATTACCGTATGGAGCCCTAAGCACTTTCGTAACTCCGGCGCAAGCCCGAGGAGCTACCGGATTCTTACTCCTGCCTATGACTACTTGGAGGGTCTTTAGGGGACTTAGTAAGTAGGTAGTAAGTAGACTTATAAGTACCCGAAAATGGACCCTAATTGGGGTTATTGTACTTATAAGTTTTTAAAATAACCAGTTACCAAGGCCCCCGACCCTCCAAGTATGGCACCCCGCACCTCAGGGTTCACTCCCGATGTGAGTCAAGATATGCCCTCGAGGTAGCAACGCGCATCTTGCACCAGTGTCTGCGGTTGGATCCCAGCTGTGCCGACACGCACCTCGGGCCCTCGCATTAATTTCGCAGGAACTGCGGAATCGTCGGGATTGTCGTCGAGCTTGTTCTGCTGATCGAGTTTAAAGCTCAAGACAAACAGACCCTAGGCTAGGCTCTCTTTCGGATTGCTGACAAAGATGTTTTGTGATGGGTCTTATGGCTTACCGTAGGCCGAAAAATCTGTTTTAAGGGCTGCAGCCCAACAGCAAAACGCCGAACCTGCTCATGCTTTCCAATCCTGACACATTCGGAACAAAATCCCGAACTCCACTCTGAACTCTTCCTAACCCCTTTTGCTTCCCACAAAGCCTAAACGCCCCGTAAGCCCTGCAAAGCTCTACTGCAAGGTTTGAGGTTTCCGGATCGCAGTGGAGCTCGCATCATTTTGGAGTCATTTTGGCGTGATCCTACAAATTAGGGGTACCTTGTTTGGAGGTACCCAAAGTCGGTATACATTAGTTTTTCTTCGCTCTCTGAAGGCAAACGTGGGACTGAGGAGCTAAATCCCTAAATCCAAATAAACAGTAAGGCCTGAACCAAAACGGGGCTGAGCTTCTTAAACCTCTGTCCAGGTATCTGCTCCTCGCGCGCATCTACCACCAGAAGGATCAGCCGAACGCCGCGCTGCAGTACTTGGAGCATCCCGGTTTGCAGGGGCCGACCTGGAACGGGTTGGAAAGGGTTTACTTGGAGGTTCATGGCTAGTTATAAGTAGGGTTATAAGCAGGGTAACTATAATTACTTATAACCCATGTTAGGGGACTTCTAGCGCTACTTATAACTACCCATGAACCTCCAAGTAAGGTTTGACGTAGGAACCTGACTAAGAGACCCTGGCCCTATATTTAGGGTTCGGGGTTTATTTTCGTCTTGAATTAGGACTGGATTTCTGAGCTATGGAGTCGGCAGGGCTGGCTTTATTGAGTATGGGTGTGGGATGTACTCGGGGTTTGGCGGAGTGGTGGGGCTCTACGCCACACTGCAGAACTCTGTGACCAGGACGACAGTGTCTGTTGGGATGAACCCGGCATGTTTGAACAATCCCAGACCCTCATCCTCCCCCTTTTCCCCAAAAAAAGAAGAAGCCAAAGCCTACGCCCCTAAGCCCTAAGCTCTGAGTCCTTGCGCCTGACCCTCACAAACGAGAGGCTTAACCCAAGCCCCAAACCCGAACCCTTGTCCTCTCGTGACCCACCCCTCCGAAACAGAAGCCTTGACAAACTGTAGGAGCCCCAAAACTTAGCATTAAAATCCCCTTGATTTCCTTTTCCATATTTTTACTTTTATGATCGTTTAAAACGTTAAGGCCCTTATGCTCAGCCCTTAACACAAGACCCTCTATAGAGCGCTTTAAATATTCCCCCAGCTCAGGCAGGGACTGAGCCATGACTTTAGCGTGCGGAACCATCCGCTCTACCACTTGGCTGCTCGGTAGAGGTTTTGGGGAGGGACAGGTTTAAACTTTTTAGGACGTCGGTAGGGTTTGCGGTTTGGGTCTGGGGGTTTAGGGGTTTAGGGGGTTTAGAGGAGGGTCTAGCATTCTAAGCATTGCCAATGAGCACCCTAAACCACGATTTAGGGTGTAGTCTAGCGGCTTCGGAAGCCCTGAAACCTATAGTAAAGCCTAAAAGCTTACCTCGAAGCCCTGCGCTGCCTAGATTTCGAGCATAGGGTCCAACGAGTCTGAAAAGTAGAGGGTTTACAGTGGGGTTCAGGGTCGCAGGTCTAGGGGTAGCTCGAATCCCACGCTTTGCAAAACTGCTATGTCAATCTGCAAGGTGAAAGCCGAAGTGCTCTCCGCTGCTGGCGAAATCGAGTTACTTGGTGGCATCTGTAGATGTCGAGAGTCTGCTGGGGACTCAATTCGGACATTTGACGCCGACTCGTGGCATGAGCAGAAGCTGCTTCGCACACTTTCATTTTGCTGGTTCCCTAGATACTTCTCCGTACGTGCTGAACACGCATTACGGCAACACACGATTCAGCTTTTTTGCCAGTTCCAGGCCACAGACTACACAAAGCGTATCAGTCCCAATACTTCTCTTGTAGCAACTGTTTTGGTCGCCGTCAACGTCGTCGTGTTCGTCGTCGTCTTCGTCGCCATCAATACGGGTTTTGAAATTCATCCCCTATTAACCCTAATCCTCCAAACGTCTCAAAACCTAAGTGCGCCATGACATCCTAACTCTACCCTAAACCCTATATAGACCCCGAATTTCTCAGACTACTTGGAGGATCATGGGACTAAGTAAGTACGGTTATAAGTACCCTAATGGAGTTTTGCTCGATGAGTATACTTGCCTTATTTATAACCTTCGTATACCCTAAACCTCAAAACTCTTAAACCCTCAAATCCTAAACCCCAAAAGCCCTCAACCCCTCAAGCCCCCGGGACCTAGTCCGCAGTTGGCAAAAGGAGCTCCAAAAAATCCTAAAGCCTTGAATGAGCCCTTAACCCTAAACCCTCAAAGCCCTAAAGCCCCCCTGAACCCTAAACCCTACACCCAAAACCCTAAAAACTAAACCCCTAAACCCTAAACCCTTAAACCACAAACCTAAAGCATTGAATGAGGCAAGCTTCGAAGCTCCTTGAGTCGGTGATGACGCTGCCGGGGGTCAAGAGCGGAACTGATGCCAAGCAGGCCTAGCTCTCGGGGCCTTGGGGGTTTAGGGCTCCTTTAAGGGATCCGTTTAAGGGTTCATTTCACTGGAGCCCTTTAAGGGATCCGTTTAAGGGTTACTAGAAGGGTATCAGAGGGTTTGTAGGGTTTAGGGTGTAGGGTTTGGGATTTAGGGTTTGGGGTGTAGCGTGCAGGGCTTGGGGTTTCGGGTTTATGCGGGTTTAGGGTTCAGCCGACAGCCCGGATCCTGCATTCTTTTCTTCAGGTTTGGGGGCGGAGTCTGGGGTCCAGGGTGGTATCTAACGTACTTAGGCCGGTGAGAGTTCTCACATAGCTTGGAGCCCCCTAGGCCGCGAACCCTTAAACCTTAAACCCTAAACCCCAAGCCCCTAAACACCTCAACCCCAAACCCCTAAACCCGTGCCTCCAAGTGGAAGTCCCAAAGAAAGAATCGAAAAGTTGAGCCGAACGCGGCAGTTGCTTGTGCCGTATTGAATCTCCAGCAAATCTGCTTTGGGATAAATGGCTCGGTCTCTGTTATCTGTTCCAGGTATGTGAGATTATTGGGCTGACTTGGTTTACAAATAGTAGACTGCGGATCACCGATTCCCCATGACTGCATATCCGAAGCAAACCCGGCGACTAAGCAGCATCTTAACTTAAAAACCTGCTCTTCAGCCATGTACCTGAGTCCCTGACCTGCGCTGACCTGCTCTTCCAGCAACGGAATCCCCAAGCCTAAACCTAAACCCTAATCTCGAAACCCGTGTCCTGCGGCAAAGGCCAACAAGACCGTCCAGCTAAGCATGTCCGACCGATCAGCGTTGTTCACGCTGCAGGCGCTGATATCCGGCCGCGTGTTTCCACTGAAACATATCAAGATTCAATAAAGGGGCTTAGGGACTAGGCAGAAGATACTTGGGAGTGCTCTTGTCATTGCGATGTCATTAGTGGCAGGAGTCTGAACCTTGCAAGACCGCAGCTGTTGGGTCATGGTGGGGGTGAGCTTAAAAAGCCTTCGAGAATACTTGTGAACACCCTAGCAAAACTTCATAATTCCTGGACTCTTCCTGATGTTAAGGATTGTGGGGTGGTGCAAGTCAGCCTTGCATGCTGTTGTTGGCTCAATCAAGACACAGCTAGGCCGCAAGGCTGGGGTCTACATCCAGGTTTATGGACACGAAGTTTCAGCAGCTGGCTGGAGAGAAGCAAGAGTTGACAGGCTTCATCGGTTGCTGTAAAAGGCATCGGTGTGTTTGTTGTCGGTTCGCGTCTTTCTCTCTGCGCATGTATGTCCCGAAGTGCAGGTGAGCCTGCTGACAAAGCTGCACCGTGGTTGCAGTTGTGAGCTGCCGACAGTTAGCTCCGAAGTAAATCGTGTTAACAACCCTAAACCCTAAACCTTTTGAAGCCTAAACCCTAGACCCTAAACCCTAAACCCTAAACCCTAAACCCTATTTAGTCAGATCTTAGTTGGTTTTTGGGAGACCTCAGTTGCATCGAGGTGGCTTTCCAGAGGCAGGCTTCCGGGTTTTAGTCTGGGTACGGCCCCCACTCAGTAATAGTTGAATATTCATAATACAGATATAGTAGGACCTTAATAGTAGCCCTATTATGGACTCTTACTGTATGGGGGCCGTACCTATGTTCTAGTCTTGTTGTTAACAAGCCTTAAATCCTTAACCCACGGCCCTAACTCCCCGGTAAACCCGAATGAACCCAAGCCCTAAGCCCTAAACCCTAAACCCCTAAGCTCTAAGCCCTCTGCCCCTAGCCGTACACCCTAGAAGACCCCAAACTCCGAGCCCGAGGCCCCTTTTCTCGGCTCTAGTTTCGCAAGTTGGGTGTTTGGGAGTTGTGGTGGTATTTAGGGTGCTATATTAGGGTCCCCTATTTCCGGAAACTCGGAACCCTAAACCCTTTATAGAACCCTTGTAGATTCCGTTAAGGAACCCTTTAAGGGTTAGAGATCTTCGATCTGTCGACATTTACAGCTGAAAAGCTAAGTACCCTCAATTCAATAGTGTGCTCGGATCCCAGGAAGGGCCGCGAATAGACCTGGTATGACGGGCATGCATGCTGCATCCGTGTGATACATGAAGCTGGGCTTCAGGATTTGCAGCCCTTGCACGTCTAAACCCCATGTCCTAGAGCGTGAAAAAATCCAGCCGTTATGTCACGAATGTCCTGAAGCCCTAAAGCCCCAGACCCTAAGTTGTCAGCTTGTCGCAACTCTCGGCCACGTCCTCCGAGCCCTAGCCCCCGGCAAGCCGCGAGGCTTTGGGATTTCGGGCTAGGACTGAAGGGTTAGAGCCAGGTTCTAACATCTCACACTCACTTAGAGTCTGGGTTCAGGGTTGCTTAGTGGTACTTCGAAATCGTAGTTATTTCTCGGTTACTATAATCCCTAAGGGACAGCTAAAAGTATCATTTATGCTCCGGTCCCAAGTTCAGTATGGGTTGATTGTTAAGGGTTTGTGGGTCACCGTTTGTGTTTACGGTTTCTGGCCTTGCGATTGATGCAGCTCCCGTGAGGAAACAGCTGGACCAAGCGAGCGAAGTGGTCAAAACGGCACCTCGATCAAGCATTTCGGGCTCTTAAGCCGTGGGTTGAGGGTCTAGGGCTCGGGTCTTCACGATGGTTTCGCAGGTAGGGTTGTGCCCCGAGCCCGAAGCCATGACATTTATGTTCTCAAGCTATATAAATCCTGTAAGCAGAAGAATTTTAAAGTGTAGTTGAAAAGATCTCCCTGCTGATCCCAGCCGTCAGGAGCATGACGCTGAACCAAAACCCGAAGCACCGTAAACCCTGCCAGTCACATCCCATTCTAGCCCCCTATGCAAGAATCTATGCAAGTATACCTCGATATGCCCCATGGCTGTTCCAAAGTCCTACCGTAATCCAAAACCCGTATAATCCTGGACCCCAAGCCCTATTCTGCTCCAAAATCTTTGGCCAAGGCTATCGCAGAGTTTGCGGGCACGCCAGAAGAGGCCGCGAGCAGAGTGTTGGGATACGAAACTCGGGATTTTCCTGCTATTTAGGATGCAGGGTTGTTTTAGGCCTCAAGGGTCATTTCAAGTTTAGGACCAGGGTCTAGGTGGTGTAAGGTTCAAGGTTTATTTAGCGTCAACTAATGTTAGGAACCTGATTAAGAAACCCTGGCCCTATAACCCCCAATATATTAGGATTCTAATCAGGACCCAGGGTTTCTTAATCAGGTTGCTACACTAGCCTTGGGCAGGTGAAAATCTTGGTTGCGAACAGCCAGCTGGCCATCGAGAAGGGCGAGATCGACTCGGCCCTAAACATGCTGAGGACGGTGGACTCCCCTAAACCCTAACCCCTAGCCCTAGCTCTGGCCCCCTAACCTCCAAATGCAAGCCTCCTAAATCCCAGACCCTATACCAAGTCGGAATGTTCTGAACCCCAACCTCGAATCTCTAAATCCTAAACCCTAAACCACTGTGGTTGAATGGCCATCAGCACCGAGATGTCATTGCCCCATCATTCCAAGTTGTCCAGTGCCCGGGAGACACTAACTTTTAGGCACCTTGGCCCCGAAACCTAACCCGTAAACCTAAACCCTAAATGCGAACACACAGATGCACCCCTGACTAAACATCGACACGAACATCGGAAGCATTCACCCTGCAGCCTCAAGCCTTTGTCGGATGATGCTTCAGTTTCAGGCTTACAGGGATATGGCAAGCTCCTTATGGGGTTCTTATGTCATCACAGGCCTTTTCCAGTGTTATTGTCGGCTTCTTATAGGTGCTAGAACCCTGGACCAGGGACCATAAGATATAGATCGTAAAGACATGGATCCCCGTCCCCCTGTCCTATCACATCCAGCAGACCCACTACCAAAGAAGGAGCAGCTCGATGTCATAGACCGTGGACGGCACTCTAAACCCCACAGTCAACCCTAAACCCTAAACCCCTAAACCCTAGAAGTCGCAGACTTGCAGCCTCTGGGAAAAAGGAGCTCAACAAAAACCTAAACCCTAAGCCGTGCACCCGCAGCTGGCCGAAGCCGAATCCCAAACCCTAAACCCGAAACCCCTCTTCTCCGGGCGGAGGACAATGAAGCCGGAGCACCCACAGTTTGCCATGGCGAAAGCCGTACTTTGGTCGAAAAGGTCAGTGCGACCAGAGCAGTTTGCAGCTGCCGTCTTGTGTTCTGATATAAGGGCCCTAGGGTTCCCTTTTAACGGTTTTAAAGGGGTCTGTAAGGATTACTATAAGGGATCTATAAGGGTACTACAGTATAGGGGCCTTAATAAATACCTATACTGTTTTGGGGTTCCTTACTATAAGTAAAGTGTAATGGGTCCCAAAACATTATTCTAAGTATTAAGGCGTATAAGCGTTTTGAGCCAAACGGTTTAGGGTTTAGGGTGTTGGGTTTAGGGTGTTGGGTTTAGGGTGTTGGGTTTGGGGTTTAGGGTTAAAGGTAGGCCGCTGCGAGATTTTACATTTTCCGTTTAGGAGGATCTCATTTACGATATTTTTTTTGCAGGCTTAAACGGTTTCCAGCTTTCCAGGTAGACACCCTATACCCTAAACCCCGAAACCCTAAACCGACTTGAGTTTGGGGCTTGAGGCGGGTGCTCCGGACTGGCCGGTTGATGGATATCTTTAGCTCCCATACTTCAAGCCCCCAAGAACCCGATACCCGAAATTTCCGAACTTCAACCCAAAGGCCTAAACCCTAACCCCTAAACCCTAAGCCCTAAACCCAAAGCCCAAAGCCCAAAGCGCAAAAGCCGATTCCCACATGGGCCTCAAGCCTGAACCGTTAACCCTCACGCTCTTCAAGCACTGCACCCTCACCCCTAGCATCCCTTGCCTTACAGACTTTCCACCTGACACCCTAGCTAGTGGATTTAATCTAAGTTACCACATCAAGGAAACCATCTTATTTACTATAGATCCCCAATATGGTAAGGTAGATCAAATTCCGTACCAGGAACCCAGGTGAAGCCCCAAAGCCTCTAAGACTCTGCGCGTAAGAGCCAACTTAGCTGAGGCCATGGCAGATATCTATTTGAAGCATCGCAAAGACAAGATCCCTGGACAGCATTGCTGGTGCTTCGTGGGTATCCAAAGCCCTAGACCACTCCAGAACCCTTAAACCTCCCTGAGTGCCAACTTAGGGCTTAGGGATTATGCTTTAGGTGTTCAGGGTTTTGGGTTTCTGGAGGATGTAGAAGTGAAATGGTTGTGTCTCATGTTTCTAGAGGCATTCGGAGGCCCTTTAGGACCGTTCAGGACTTTAGGGTTTGAGTTCTAGCGCTTCAGGGTTTAAGTCCTTGTGTGCTGTAGGCTTTGGGGCTTATGGGCTTTCTAGCCCCTAAACCCTAAACCCTACTTTCTTTTTTTGGGGGGGAGCTTATGCTTGTAGGGTATGGGTCTTCGGGCTCTGGGAGCTGGAGGCTTGAAGCTTAGAGCAGCCTTGCTTACTACTGTTGATGATATAAATCCTGCATTACCTTAAGGACCCTAAACTATGGGAATTATGGTATATGTCTTGTTATGGGTAATGCAGGATTTCTATCATCCACCGTATTTTGGGGTTTCCTTAGTACAGGTAAAATATTTTATGCCCCACAATCCCGTTCTAAATAAATATTAAGGCCTCTCCGTATCGTTATCTCTTTCGAGCTGCGTGGGCGGAAGTGTGTGTAGGTCTGAATAATTGGTTCTAGTTGCCCTTTTGGGGTTTTACAACGGTTTCCGGTGGTTTTCGACTGGCTTAGGAATGACTGACGGTAGTAATAGTATCCCCATAGTCCTAGTGTAGCTATGCTATACTATGCTATACGCTACTGACCATAATTTACTCTGTTTTTTATGTCGTAGTGGAGGGTCGAAGTAGGTTCGAGATGACGCTCTGATTCCGTGTGCGCATCTTGTATTTCCTCTAGAAGGGCTTCCATCGCCTCGACTTCTCGACCCCTCCGTCAGAATCCAGGCTAGAGCCTTGTGAGTTTCCGAAAATAGGGGACCCTAATATAGTACCCTAAGCAGTAGGATCCTTATAATAAGGTACCAACTGATACCCTCGTTTTGGGTACTGCCCCGACTCAGTAACAGTTGGATAATACCCACAATAAAGATATAATAGTAGCCCTATTACAGGCTGTTGCTGTATGGGGGCCAGTACCCAACCCTCGTTCCTTACTAACCTGTATGTCGTAAACCCCGCAATCCCAAACCCGGAATGCCATGTATGCACACAGCGTTGAGCCCATTGGACCCCAAAGCCTCTGCAGTACAAGCCAGACAGTTGGAACATCGCCGTCCCGCCAAACCTAAATCCTAAGGTCCAGATCTGCAGGAACAGAATCCAACAGCTTTTTTCCAGCCCCAAGCCGTTTAGCCGAAGCCCGAAACCGTCGCCCTCGACCGAACGTAGTGGATGCCTCCTTATCCCAGGAAGGCTTATGCGCGATGCTACAAGGCGATCGTCGACCATGCTCCCACAGCGCCTTTGATCCATAGGGTTTAAGGTGAAGGTGGTAAACACCACTTCAGCAGAGAAGGATGTTTATGATATACTTGTGCTGACGCTCCTGCAAACGCATGCATCGGTGCATATACAAACACATCAAGATGTACAACTACACATGTAGGTGCATCGAGACATGCATGCGTCCAAGTCTATGCACGTTTATTCCTGCTTGTGTGCATGAGCAGCCGTTTGCGTACTGGGAAAGCCTGTTAGTGTTCCATAAAAGTACCCGTAGTGGTCCCGTAGAGGAACCCTTATAACTACCCATGAACCTCCAAGTAGACCCTAAACCCTATACCTTTGTAGAACCCTTATAGAGCCCTTTGAAGGGACCCGTAAAGGAACCCTTCTAACTACCTGATCGCAATCAGGGCCAGCTCTTGTTCTCGCGAGCAGTGTCTCAACTGTGACGTACATGCTTGATCGTCTTAATGATGGTGATCTGCTTCTTGTTCTGGCCAGTCATGTTGCTCCTGTCGTTACCGTAGTTGTAGTACTCATTATTTTGCTATAGTGTAGCATACCCCCAAACCCATCAAAGCCCTCTTGCAGTTGTTCAGGCCCGCGCCGAAAGGATGCAAAAGTGGCCATGCAGGCTGAAATCTGCACCTTAAACATCCCACAAATCCGATAAGCCGTAAACCCTCAAAGTTCTAGGCCGAAACCCCGGCTACCCCAAACCCTGCACCCTCAAAGTCCACACCCCACAACCAAGGTGCAGAATTACTTGATCCTTGGCGATGCGCTCCTGTCCATCCAAGAGCCTGCTGATGCAATCATCGCTTTCCAGCAGGCCGGAGCAGAATTGTTCATAGAAAGACAATCATACAATCAATGGAAGTAATAAAATCGTAATAGTAACAAGAATGGTAGTACTAGCACTAGGGTCCGTTGGGCACATTTGCCCAGGATTCTTCTTGCCAGGCTCGGATGTCAAGTCTCTCCCCTAAACCTCGGGAAGGTTATAGATTCTGGATTCCATAAAGGGCCCAATATCCTTGAATTTAGGAATATACCTTGAATGAAACGGGCTTGAATATTATGCTTGAAGGTATATTCCTTAATTAGGGGGCAGTGAGCTTTTTGGGTTCCATAGAGGCCCCGAATCGGCGGATGCTTTGAGTGTCCCCTTTGGAGACACCTCCAGCCCGTGATCTGACTCATGGTCTAGTGCTTAGGGTTTATGGTTTAGGGTTTAGGGTTTCGGGTTGAGGGTTGAGGGTTTAGGGTCTAGGGTCTAGGGTTTAGGGTTTCGGGTTTAGGGTTTAGGGTCTAGGGTTTAGGGTTTCGGGTTTAGGGTTTAGGGTCTAGGGTTTAGGGTTTAGGGTTTAGGGTCTACGGTTTCGGGTTTAGGGCAGGGATCGGAAGAACTTACAGGAAACACCAAAAAGTTGGAAACCGGCTTAAGGACAACTAGTGCTGGGATTCCCGATACTTTACTCTTAAGGACTGGGGCTATTGGGTTTCCAACTTTTGGACTTCTACTGTATACTACTATTCTTACACCACCGAAGCCGTTGTTTTAATTGTGATGGCCGCATATTTGGAGTTCAGAACCAAACTGCCATCCCCTCTCCTCACGGTAAGCCGCGCAACCTCCAAACGGTTTGTGTTTTCATCTGAGTAGTTGTCAAAGTTAAGGTCCCTTTTTGGGTACCGTAAATAATCGGTGCCGTACAATCATACGGTTGATGATACAAATCCTGCATTACCTTAAGGACCCTAAGCTACGGGAATAATGGTATATTCCTTCTTATGTGTAATGCAGGATTTATATCATCAACCGTAGGGACCCAAAAAGGGACCCATAATTTTGACAACCCCTAAACCCTAAACTCATGGCCTAGGCCGCCCACCTTCGATGGTGGGCGGCGCTTAAGCCCCTCGACCTCGATGGCGCAGAGCGACCCAATACGCTCAGCCATGGGGACGGGAGCACACATGTTGGGCCCGGTACCGGACCCGTTCTCGACGGGACCAGTACTGGTCCCTTAATAAAGTCATCACCCTAAACGTGGAACCGGAAATTCTGGGCTGTTTTGGGCATCCCCAAATCGGGCCCATCAAGTGGGGACTGGAAGCTTCAGCGAGCAGAGTTCCAGGATTTAGGGGCCTCCAGGCCGGTTAGGGCCCTGCCCTGCCTGGTTTGCCTACCCTGCCCTACCCTGCCCTGCCCTGTGCCCTGCCCTGCTCTGGTTTTTGGGGAGCAGAAGCTTGGCTGCAGAATTGTGGTTGTTAACCAACATGGACCTCACGGAGTTTAGGTCCTAAACTCTAAAAGGTAGAGGTTTGGGTGGTTTGCCGCCTCGGACGGCGTGGGGTGGGTGAGTTATGTGATGGCCCGCCACAGTCGGGCCATGGCTGCGATTCGCAGGCAACAAAACCGCTCATAAATCTTACAGTCCATGTTGCACTACCGCTACGCAATCTTGCAGCAAACCCTAAACCCTAAGTAATAGGTGCCGTATTATAGGGACTCAACAAGGGACCCAGAATTTTGACAGCCACCCATCTGCATGTCGTCCAGGCCATGGAGTTGGAGAGCTTCAAGGCCCGTCTTGCTGCGGGTTTTTAGTGCTCCTTTTCCTTTACTTTTTTTGTTTTTTTAAAGGTTTCTTTTAATATTTTTTGGGCTGCTTTTACCTGTAGCCGAAAAGACCTACCTTTTGAGGGCTACTTATGATGGTATCTATACATAGTTCCTTAAAAAGGTAGGTCTTTTCGGCTACAGGTATATGGGGCACCTGTAAGACATCCTTTTGTGGCTCCTTGAAGGATGACGGCCAAACCTCAAGGGCATAGGGCGGCATAGGGTGTTCGTCAGTGGTTCATGTCTGACTATGGTTGTCTTACATCACCCAAGGTTGCTGCAGCCGCAAAGCAACAGAGCAACAAGTCCTACTACCTCGATTTCTACTAGTCCGCTACGACTTTTGCTACTACTTGGAGGGTCGGGGGACTTAGTAACTGGGTATTCTAGGGGCTTATAAGTACCATAACCCCAATTAGGGTCTCTTTTAGGGTACTTATAAGTCTACTTACTACCTACTTGCTAAGTCCCCCGACCCTCCAAGTACGGCACGTGGGGCCCTGAAAGGCTTCTGAAGGGGCATGAAGACGCACGCGATGCTTTTTTCTGATAGGCGGCAGGAACTACCAAAGGGAAAGATTCTAGCTCCTACTTGGAGGTTCATGGGTAGTTATAAGTGGGGGTTTTATGTAGGGTAACTATGCGTATAACCCAATTAGGGGACTTCTAACCCCACTTACAGCTACCCATGAACCTCCAAGTAGGGTTTCCACACCCTACTGTCCTACTGTCGGGCGTGCTCGAAGTCGGAAGGGGCTCTTGAACAAGGGGTCCCTGCATCATCCCACTCAGGGTCACGCTCTTTTTCTTGGAGTTTCATGGGTAGTTGTAAGAGGGGTTATAAGTCCCCTAATTTGGGGTGTAAGTGTAGTTGCCCTAGTTATATCTCCACCGATATAACTACCCATGAACCTCCAACTAGACCTCAAATCCTAAACCCCTTAAACCCTGTAGAACCCTTAAAGGTACCCTTATACCTACCCCATGAACCTCCAAGTAAGGCTTTTGAAGTTTGAGCTCCCATACTGTTGATGATATACATCCTGCATTCCCTTAAGGACCCTAAACTATGGGAATTATGGTATATTCCTTATTATGGGTAATGCAGGATTTCTATCATCCACCGTACTGAACTCCACCGTGCAAGTCTGAACACCCTAAGCTGCCGAGGCGTCGGACTCCAACCCCCCTCGGTTAAGGGTTTGGGGTTTAGGGTTCAGGGTTTGGGGTTTAGGGTTCAGGGTTTAGGGTTTAGTGTTTAGGGTTAAGGGTTAAGGGTTTAGGGTTTAGGAGCATGTGCCGCTGGACTTCCCAGGACCCGAAGAAGAGTAGTCGACCTATCTGTGAGACTCCGGAAACCCTAAACCCTTCAACCCTGCACTGCTCAGGGTTTAGCGAGCTTCTTATTTGGAGGTTCATGGGTAGTTAGAAGTAGAGATAGAAGTCCCCTAACATGGGTTACAAGTATGGTACCCTACTCAGAACTCCGCTTATATACCTACCCCTGAACCCCCTTATTCCCCTTTTTTGTAGTCCGAGGTTCCTTATAAAGGTACCCAATACCAAAAAGGGAGCCCTTTTTTATTCCTAGGTGACTGGGCATCCTAGTTCTTACTAACACCTCGTCATGAAGTTCCGCGTCAGAATTTGCAGCCACCAGCAGCGACGAACGATCGAAGTCTGAATCCCAAATCCCAGAACCTAAATACCTAAATCCTTTTAGGTTTAGGATTTAGGTTGTTTTTTCAAAAAGACCTAAATCCGAAACCCAAAACCCTAAGCCCTAAACCCTAAACCACAAACCATCTTGAGGTCGACCCGAACTTGATTCAAAAGATCGGGAGGCTTTGGTTGCACGATGTGGGTTCAGGGTGTAGGATTTAGGGTTTGTTTAGGGTTTCGGAGTATTTGTTCAGGGATTTAGGGTTTCGGAGTTTCGTTTCGGGGTTTGGGGTTTCGGGTCCTGCAGTTTGGTGGGTTCAGTGCTCCAGGAAAGACCTGCTGCAGTGCTTGAGGAAGGGTTTAGGGTACTACTTGGAGGGCCGGGGGACCCAGCAAGTAGGCAGCAAGCAGACTTATAAGTACCCTAAAAGGGACCCTGCTTGGGGTTATGGTACTTATAAGTCCCAAAAATAACCAGTTACTAAGTCCCCCGACCCTCCAAGTAACAACTCTGGAGTTGAGGTATTGCTCAGGAGCCTTGGTATTAGGCTGCAGGGTCGCGGGTTCTGAGTTCGGGGGTTGGAGAGTTTATGGCCCCCTGGGGTTTGTGGTTTTTTTCGAGAATTACTGTTGATGACATAAATCCTGCATTACCTTAAGGAACCTAAACTGTGGGAATTATGGTACATTCTTTATTATGGGTACTGCAGGGTTTATATCATCAACCGTAATGAACCCCGGGGACTAGCAGTACTAATTACTCCGGCTTCTACATGAATGTCTCGATTCCTCTTTAGAACCTGCGACCCAAGTGTCCCGAGGAAAGCGATGATGCAGACGCACGACTATGAGAGGGCCATACAGCACCCTGGTCTGATAGCGGTATGTCCGGTGGGGGTGTTGCGCTGTCCTAGCAGGATTGCTTTGGCCATTTGGGTGGTTGTCAAAATAATGGTCCCTTTTTGGGTCCCTGATATAGTACGGCACCTAGTATTTAGGCTACCCAAAAAGGGACCATAATTTTGACAACTACCCATTTGTTGATCTTGCCGTGTCTTGGCGGAGAAGGTGCGTCAAGCCTCAACGAGTCAACGCCTAATCTCCGAACCCTCCTACACCCTAAATCCGAAAGCCCTAAAGCCGTAAACATCAAACATGAGGCAGCTTTGGGTTCGCAGTTCGATGTTGGTAACTAGGCTTACAAAGAAAGTGACTTTATATCCGCTTACAGCCCGATTCAAAGTACTTAGAACCTTGCTTACTAAGTCCCCGGAACATCCCGTCAGCAAGCAAGAGCCGATTCGCCGACAGCAGAACAACGGTTGAAGCAGGGCATCGACCCCCCAATTGACTTACCGGACTTCTATATGCATTTGCTAAGGAGCATGAGCCCTAAACCCTAGACCCTGGACCCCTGAACCCGAACCTCAAAAATTATGCGTGGGTTTCGCATCGCTACTGCTTGATAACTTTATGGCGAAGGACCCGTAGGTGCATGTTGTTGCGTCTAGGGCGAGCCGAGCGATGAGCGCCCTAAACCCTAAATCGCCGAGTACAAACAAGTTCCCCAGAGAGCCCAATACCCCTTAATTAAGCAATATACCTTAAATTATAAGGGGCTTCATATTATGATTTAAGCTATATTCCTTAATTAAGGGGTATTGGGCTCTCTGGGTAATGAGCACAATCGAGCTCCATTCGGGTTTGCGGTCTGGGGCCTGGGGTTCAGCGTTCAGGGCTTTAAACCCTACTTGGAGGTTCATGGGTAGTTATAAGTAGGGTTATAAGTTCTAAGTAGGGTAACTATACTTACAACCCATATTAAGGGGACTTACAACCCCACTTGTAACAACCCATGAACCTCCAGGTAGTTAGGATTTAGTTACGGCCCAGGTGTTTAGGGGTATAGGGTTCAGCTCCGCGTCCCACGCCTGGATGTCCGTCTCCCGGATATTTGGGGGTTTCCGAAATAAGGGACCCTAATATATTACCCGAGATAGTAGGACCCTTATTGTATAAGGACCCCCCCAAACAAGGTACCCCTAATTTTCGGAAACTCCCATTTGGCAATCCTTAACAATTGGAATACCGGGCTTTGGAGTGCCATACTTTGATGCTTTTCTCTGAAAGGAACCAGTATGAAATGAAAATTTATACTTTCATCTCTCTGGTTACTTAAACGCCCAGAATAGGGTTTTGATGAAATTGCGCATCTTATGTGGCAATCTGCTCGGATGTCTTTGGCAAAAAGATGTGGTTGACAGGGTTCGAGTTAGTGCCGCTGACTTGAATCTAGTTCGTTGCTGCCAAAGGCTTTAACCCTATACACCCTAAGCCCCAACCACTAGACTGATGGAGGGGCCTTGAAAATTAGCGTGGAATTCTGGGCTCCTTGATGGTATAGTCATAAAGGAACCCGAAGGGATAATATGGGTAATTGTTTAGGCATCTATAGTAAACCGCAAGCCCGTCTGCGCCTCCAGACTCAGGTATTACCACGACGCTCTCCGAAAGCACCCGTCGCAGCAGGAGCTGAGGCACATGGGGAACTTTGTAGATCTTACTTTTGGTTAGTAGGGAATGGAGTCATGGGGTACAATTATAGCTACTACTACTACTACTACCACCACCACCACCACGACTACTACTACTACTACTACTACTACTACTACTACTACTACTACTACTACTACTACTACTACTACTACTACTACTACTACTACTACTACTGCTAGTACCATTCTTCCATTCTCTACTAACCAAAGGTAAGAGATCTGAGGCCCAAAGCCGACCCATTCCCCCGAAATTTAGGGTTTCAGGTGCTGGAACCCCGAAGCTTCAGTCTTAAACCATGCTGCGCTGAGCTGAAGTTCCCGAACCCTTTTCGGCGTTTGGCGTTGGTACATGCTCTTGTCGATTTAGACTTAAGACCTGCGCTCTCAGGTTTGGGTCTAGGGTTAAGCTACCCTAAACCTTCAGCAGCCACCTTTCCAGGCAAGATTTGGCACGGCTATATCGCCGGCTTCAGCGCTGGGAGGCCACCTCCCCGGGAAGTTAAACCTCGAGGATGTAAGCTAGGAGCCTAAATACTTCCCACTACTGTTTTGGGTGTTCTTTTTGGTAAAGTTTTGTTCAAGATACTCCAAAACCACATTCCAATTTTCCTAGGCCCCGGGGTAAGTTAGGGCTTTCGGATTTAGGGTTTGCGCTTGGAGTGTAAGGCTTTGGTGCACCCTGCGTCTTAGTGCTTTTGGCAAGTCTTGCATGGGTCTAGGGCTTAGGGCTGGTGCCTGGAGTCTGAGAAGCTTAAACCCCTGAACCCTGAGCCCTCAACCTCTGATGCTGGTGCTGAACAGGATGCCATCAAGGAGCTCGATGATGCTCTTCAGGTGACCCGGCTGCTTTCAGTTTTGTGCATGTACTGATTTTCAGGATTTTTTTGTAGTTGCTTTTAGTTTGTGCGTGTATCAATATTTCCGGAGGGGATCTTTTTATGCATGATTAAGTTCAATTTCGCGAAATCAGTCTGGTCGCCGCATGCTGGTAGGAACAGCGCCAGTTTTAGTTCGTTCCAACAGCAAGCCCCATGAAGAAGGCCCCATGAAGAAGTTAATGTGCTTAGTATAGGGCCTTAGATATTACCTCTGTTTTTTGGGGTTCTTTCAAATACTTAAAGTAGAAGAAACTCTTTCAGTATAGCATATTGGGCTCCCAAACCCTATTCTAGTTATTAAGGCCCCTAGTAAACAGCTGGACTAGACGGGCGAAAACGTTAGGCTGCTGGCCTCGCTTCCGCACGCCGGGAGGGGTTCTGGGGTTTAGGGTTTAGGGGTTTAGGCTTGGGCGAGACCAGGGTATGAGGACATCTGGTCTACGAAACAATCACGCCGAAGCATCTGGAATACTGTTGGCAAGTATGCCAGCATATACCAGCATACTACTGCTGCGCCTACTACTACCACTCCACCTCCTCCATCTCTGCTGCTGCCACCTCGTCGCTTTACTTTCCGGTTGTGTGGCTTAGGGCTTGCGCTTGAGGTGTTTGGGCGTGCAAGCTTGGAGCCTTAGGTCGTGATGGAAGAGAGCTTCAAGACATCCAAGTATCGGGTGGACACGCTGGTGCAGCTTGCAAAGGCGCGGTCTGGGGGTGGGGTGGGGGGCAGCAGACTCTTCGGAATGCTGTAGTTGAATTTTAGTCAACATCATAGCCCGACACCCAAGACCCTGAACCTGTAGACCTTGTCTTATCTAACTAGAGTCTTAACGCGGCCCGTTTTTGTTCTTCCCCCTCTGAGACTCCGATATGCCCAGGTGTTCTTATGGCTCCTTTTCACTTGCCCTCCCATGAGTTTCAGGATTTCAGTTTATTGTTCAGGGTTCAGAATTTCCGGGCCGAGGGCTTGAGGCGAAGTCTGAAATGTAGCGAAAGCCATGTTGGCCTCAGCTTGTTCAAGATGGTTTTAATGCTGAGTTGGGTGATTTTCTAGGCCAGCTTGCGTAAATTTACCATTTGGCACGCAAGGTCTTGCAGATCGCAGGGCGGCGAGCCATTCAGCCGGGGGTTGTGATTTTCTCTATAGGGGCTTAAATAATAACCTATACTATTTTGAGGGCTCCGTATTATAATAGTTATAGTACAGAATACACCAAGACAACATTCTAACGATTATGGTCCCTCTAGTATATGCCTCAGCAGAAACCCTCCCGATGTTCTTGTTTTGCATCTTGTCCAGTCTTGGCAGGTGCACAGCGACTATGCCGACAGCCGTGCAAATGTCACCGGTGGTGCCTTGCCTTGTGGAAGCGGCATAGAGGTTCGAGAATCTTGGGCCCACGGTGGCTAGAAATCTTGCGAGTTCAGGGTGTCTTGGAGTCTTGGCGTAAGAAGCCCCAGCCTCTGGTCCCATCTCTCAAGCTGCTTCGAGCCTTCCCTTACCTTTACCTCCTACGGTGTAATCGAAAGTAGCAAGTCTCCAAAAAGTTCTGGTGGAGTGTATGACTCGCCTCAACCTTCGACCGGCATCTGGGAGTTTCCGAAAATTAGGGGTACCTTATTTTGGGGTCCTTATAATAGGGATCCTACTATTTAGGGTACTATATTAGGGTCCTCTATTTTCGGAAACTCCCATCTAGCCCTGCTTGACAAAGCTTCAAGGTGGGTCCTGCTCCGAAGGCCGTGGTAAGAAGAGAAGGTTTGTTGATCGTACACCCTAGACCCTGAAAGAGGTAGCGTCTGATGTAGCTGTCGATGACCAAGCTTGCAGTTCGGCTAGGGCTGTAGGCACGGGCTTCGATGGCTCGGACTAAAGCGGAGCTACGCACCCTACCTGCAGCGCCGGGCAGCCTTTCTCGATCCTCTGCAAAGCTTCGGCGCGAATCTCCTGACAGAGGATGTAGGGCCAGAGTTCGGAGGAACTTGCATCCCCCCGTCCCCGGCTTGGAAACCCCAGAAACAGAGCACTTCTGACTCTGTGGAAAACATTAACATGAGTAGCAGATCACTCATCTTCACGCTTCACCCTCGTATGAAACTTCGGATTTCCCAGTGTTCTCTAGAGGACGGAGCCCGAGCTCCTTCCGTCGTCTAGCTGACATCATCTTCTCATCCTCCACCAAGCGCCAGGTGTGGCCCATCTTGTCAAAGAGGTCGTACTCTCGGCCTCCTCCGCTCTTCGTCAAGGTGTTGGCCAACTGCGCCTCGCTATGCACCCATCTGATGCACACATTCGTGTTGGCCTGGGCCTCCTTCAACGATAGGAGTTCCAGGCTTGTCCGCTTCTCCGCGCCCTTGATGACCATGACCTCTGTCTCCAACTTATCGTAGACGTTCCGGCTGTCCGTCACCACGCACCCTTGGGTCTTACGGACTGTCTCATCAGGGGCAGACAGGTTCCCCGCCGTACAAGATCTCGCTCAACTGGTATCTCGCAGCATGTAGGTGGTCTTCTCCATTCACGGCCGCTTGGGCCTCCGCGGCCCCTGGGGACCGGCAGGTCCTGTCAATCCGCTGCGAGTGCCAGCCCACTGGGCTGACGGGCTGCACACTGCCCTTGAGCATGTCTGACGTGCTCATTCCCAGCAGAATCCCTTGGGTGGATCCTCCATCCATCCTGTTGCCATTCGCCGCGTCGACCCACGCGATGAGCACCAACTCCTGGTCCTCATCGAAGGCGTGGATCTTCATGCGGTAGTGCTGCTTGCTCTTCGCGGCGGCCAGCAACATGTTGGCCCGGATGATCGTGTCCACGCTGCTCCTCGTAACCTCGGTTAGGAGCAACCCTACTTCTGCCGCCAGGTAAGGCGCGACCTGTTGGGCGTGCCAACTGATTCCTCCTAGGAGTGCTCGCAATTGGCTTTTCTCCTTGTCGGTTGTGGGCTGGGATTTGTCTTTCTTTCGGGAGGCGTTCACTCCTATCTCGTGCAAACTATCAAGGTAGTGCGGTTGGGAAAGCTCAAAGCCACTAGAGGTTTGCTCAACAACAACATTACTTTGAGTAAACTTGTTTTGTTCCCAGTCCGCCCATTTAAACCTATCCTTGATGGCCTGGACCTTAGCCTCCCACAAAGGATCCCCATCTTTTCCGCCAAACAGGAAATCATCCACATGGCCACTGACGATTCCCCTGAGTTCCCCGTTTTCTCTCAAAACCCAGCAACAAGAGTCTGACCACAGTCTTTGAAAGCCTAAGCTCTTAAGGAATTGGTCCACTGAACGATACCACTCCAGTGGCGCGTCCACCAATCCGTAGCATGCTTTCTTGACTCGAGTTACCGAGCCCTCCGGCAGATCTAATGCACGACAGATCTCTGGACACGGAATGCAAAACAACTCGTCTGGATACTGGCGACTCTGAAGAAAAGCTCCTGTGACGTCTCCTTTCTGCACTCGCCATCGCTTCCAAGCTGAAAGTTGTAGCAGTAACTGTCTGGTTTGTCGAGTCATGACAGGGCTTGTGGTAGCACGATGTTCATAAGCTCCGTCTTGATATCCCAAAAGCACTGCTCTGGCCTTAGCCTTTCGGCTGCCGTCTTCTTTCAGCTTCCATGTAAGTATCCAACGCATCCCAATGGCCTGTGAAGCATCTGGTTTCAAGTGGTCTGGAAGAGCCTCGAAAGCTTTTGAAGCCACAAAGTTTTTGACCTCCACGGCCTTGGCGCTGTTAAATGCATCACGTTCCTCTGGCGTCATTCTCTTTTCTGAAAGCTCAATTGCGCGTCGTTTCAAGCTACCCACGAAATAGGCTGGAAGATCCTGAAAAGCCTTCTTTATACCTCTCTGGGTGTCCGGAAAGCTGATCTCCAGTGCGACGGCGGCCGCCTGATCGTCCCAGTAGCCGGCCCTCTGTTGGGGCCACTTGTCCTCGGAGATTGTAGCCCACCAAGCCATTTGGTTTTCACCGTCTGGCTCCTGTAGGCGTGGCCTCCGGGATGAACTCGATGCCTCACCTTGTTCTGGGAGTAACTCGGGATCTTCCTCTCCTTGAGAGGTTGGCAGTCCTTCTGCAGGCCTCTTCTGCCGTATGCGGAAGCGGCTGGGTTGGACCTCTTCTTCGGTGTCCTGCGCTCGCCTCCACTCTCGGAGATCGGGAAGGTCTCCTGTAAGATCCTCAAAGCGATTGCCTCCGATGCTGGCTGCCACAGAATGAAATGTCCAAGGTGTAGCTTGCCCCTCCTTGGCGGCAAGTGTCTCGATCATTTCCTCGCGTTCTGAGGCTCGTCGCAATTGCTCTGGGCTGCACTTCAAGAGACTACGACCCTTAACCAACCAAATGGCTCCTCCCGGTAAAATATCTCCGGATGGATCACGGCGTGATTCTGTAGCCAATACTCTGGCTGGGCCCAGGAACCGACCATGCTTCCCACCCGGCTGTCTTCGTCCCTTATTGGAGTCCTGAGTCCTCCAGTAGTAGACGAGCTCGCCGGGGACGTAGTCGTAGCAGGGCCTGTGCTTCGAGTTGGTTGCCCGAGACAGGCGTTGTCGGGCCTGCCATTCCAGGAGACATTTTTCTGCCTCCAGACGTCTCTGGACTGATCTCTCGAAGTCGCCCGCAGGATCCTCCACTAACAGCCCTGGGGGCACCTGTTGACATCCAGATTGGAAGCGCCCGGCATTGTCCGGCGCCTGTCCCAGGACGTGCCGAGCCGGGGAGAATCCACTGATCAGATCCTTTTGGTTGAAAACCACCACTGCTTCCGCAAGAGCTTCTGTTGGTGTGATAGTATCATCCTGTAGGCTCAATTTATCAAGAAGCGTCTTAACACCTTTGATTGCGTTCTCGCAAGTGCCGATCTTCCAGTGAGCTTCGCCTGGGACTATGTCCAGAAAGATGTTGTGTCGGTCACACCACTCTTCGATGGCGGCGCTTCTGAAAGCGCCAGCTGGATCCAGTCTCAAGCATCGCGGATGGCCGAAGTACTGAACCCAACCCTCCTGGAGATAATGAATGCAATCCTGAGCCTTTGGTGCCTGGCGGGATCCGGAGGTAAGAATCCTAGCGACCCTGTATCTAGAACCCTCATCAATCACCAACATAAACTGCACACATTCTCCGGTGGTAGGGTGGGTCCAATGGCCCACGTCCTTGCTGATTGTTGTCAACTTGGGAGGAAGGGGTTCCAAAGAAGCCAAGGCACGAGGAGGTGGCCTACTCTTCTCTTGACACACCGAACACTTGAACTCGTTGGCCAGCTCTAACGTTCTAGCATCAGCACCTCGGGCCTTGAGAGCCTGAACCATGTGTCTCGGGTGACTGTGGCCCGTTGCACAATGAAGGAGGTATAACTGCTTCTTGATTCTCTCGTCTTGGTTCTTGAGGTTGGAGGCCTGTGGAACCTGTTCCGCCGGATAGGCCTCGAGGCTCGTACTACGCGGAATTGGAAACCCGAGATCCTGAAGTTCCTTCTGGTCCCTGGGACTGAGCTGCTTCCAGCCCCGTGTCACGTAGACCGTAATGACCCACCTATCGCCTTCCCAAGGACACGAACCATGTCTCGCTTTAGGCGGAAAGATCAAAGGACGTCCCTTAATGTCAAACTCAACACCAGAAATCACTTCTCCACCTGTGCCTTCCCGAACCGAAATCAGCCCTTTGCGGTCAAAGTCCGAAACTTCACCCTCAACCCACAAACCTCCCCCTTGAAACTCTCCGAACCCTATGCTGCCGTTGGGAAACTTCTCGTCGTTGTGGGCATCCCGGTGGGTGGGCATGCATGTCCCGTGGTTGACGGCAAACGAAGTCCATTGAAAGTGCTTTGGGAGGTGATGTTTCAGGATCTTGTTAATCCAGCGGCAGAGTTCGGGGAGACTCTGAGTACGTTTGGTGGTCCCATACATGTTGCCGTGTGAGTACGCACCGAAAACATGATAATTGTTTGGGATCTTGTGGTTTCTTCGGGAGTGGCCTATGTTTTGAAGGGGGTGTTCCGTCAGGACATCTCTCAGGGTGTTAAGGTCGGTGGCCTTGGGTCCTCTACTTTCTCTCCTAGCTTGTTGCTCGAGCCCCTGGGCCTCACTGGTACTCATGTATGCCTGAACCGACATGTCGCCATCGTCTTGTGTTGCACACATGCACGCGCCACAAACTGAAGAACCGCGCTTCCCTTCGCAACTACACCTAGTCCCAAGTCCAAAACCCTCGGGGAGCACCGAACGACCTGAGCATTCTTTCGTGATTTCTTCGGTTTCTCCCTCAACACTCAGGGCCTCGTACACAAGCCTCAGAAACTCTTTGGGGTAGGTTCGGGACGCTAGGGTACTCCCACTGTCACTCTTAGCATGCTGGTAGTTAGTCTGGCAACGACATGGTTTGTTGAGTTGCTCGGCCAGTCGAGCATGCGTGGTGAC